GAACTAACAAGTAGAATGAATTCATTAGGAACAAAATTAATGTTGGAAAGAGGTGTTGGTTTCAATGAATAAGTATATTTAAAACTATTAGTTTTCCAAAGTAATAGTTCGTAGATTATACAACGAGTGTTTAAGTAGATTAAAGGTTATACATTTTGCCTAACATATGGACTTTCAATTTTGATTTGTCATAAGAAAGCTGTTATCCTTTGAGATTTAAATCGCTTAACTTGCCTTGACTAGTGTCTATACCTACATATAAAGCAGTCCGTCGATTGTGATTGATAATACACATCAGCAATGTATTAAAAAATGGTTTAAGGGTAATTTTGGTCAAAAGCTTTTCTCCAGAAGCTTCATCTACTCTCATTTAGATAGAATTCATTTACTTCTCACAATTTGGTCTTCCAGTTTTTATTTATGGTTCCAAAACTTCTCCAAAAATCCAAGGTCCTATCTTTGTTTTTTAAGAATCAATTTTTACTCCAAATCTAATCTAATCCACTATCAAATAAATCTTACAATTGTGAGACTTTTAGAATGAGAAAAGTCTCATAAAACTCCTTACTCAAAACTTAACCCAAAACCCAATTACACCCTTTAATAGCCTACTCACTTAGCTATTCTCTTGATGTCTAACTCTCTGGGGTTACCAAACTAAAACCAAAACATCTTATTTATAAGGGTGAAACCTTTTATACCTTTATTAAACTCCCGATGTGGGATACAAGATAAATTCAAACTTACTTAACTTTCGATGTGGGATTCTGAGATTCAAGGCAAATCCCAACAAATCCTCCCTTGACTTAAATCTCCAAACACTTCAACAGTATCTGCAAAGCTAACATGCTTACCTTTCTTCTTTTCTTTCATCACAGGCATTCCAGCAACTAAGCTTCCATCAAACATGTACAAGTGATTGACCCTATTCCCTTGTAGAATCCACACTATCATTCTTATACACTTTCAACCAATCATTACTACCATAAAATGTGTACCCCCGAGAAGCTAACTCACCCAAAGCAATCAAATTGTAGTGACAATTTGGTACATACCTTACATGACGAAGTGTCCTAATAACACCATTATGAGATCTAAGGCGAACACTCCCAATGCCTTGAATCTGCACCTTTTCTTTGTTAGCAACCACAATATCCCCATACTTTTCATTCTCATTCAACTCCACAAAGCAACTCCTATCATTACAAACATGAACTGTAGCAGCTGAATCTAAAACCCAACCTTTATCACTTTTCAAAGTCTGAGTCTCATCCACACAAGTTATCAAAACAACATCATCATCATCAGACACGACAGTAGCAGTATCACTTTTTTTTTCATCTGATTTTTTCTCATCATTCGCCTTTTTGAAAGCAGCCATATCCCTTCTCAGCTTCCTGCAGCGTACTTGGATATGTCCCTTCTCACCACAATAATAACATTCTACATCACTGTAATCTCTGTCTCTTGACTTAGATCTCCATCTTGATCCATCAATCCTCTTTTGAGTCCTCCCTCGATCAAAACTCTCCACAGCTAGTGTACTCCCCCCAGGTGATGAGTTCTGAGCTCTCATAAACCTTTCATTCTCACGCAATAGAGCAGTCACATCATCCAACTTTAAAGTAGACCTACCTACCAACACAGTCTGAACTAAAGGCCTATAAGACTTGGGCAAAGATGCCAGCAAAATTAAAGCCTTCTCTTCATCTTTTAACTCATCAACAGAAATCGCTAGCAATTGAGAAACCAATCTATTAAACTCATTCAGGTGATTATGAAGACTCATACCTTCTTCCATCTTCAGAGAATACAGATCCATCTTCAAACATAATCTATTAGTCAATGACTTCGAAGCATAAATACTTTCAAGCTTATCCCACAAACTCTTCGGAGTACTCTCAGTCAACACACTGTACTTTACTTCTGGAGCTAACGCCAATCTAATAGTACTAACAGCCTTCTTCTGAATCCTATTCCAATTAGCATCAGACATTTCTTCAGGCTTACTATTCTCTAATGCCTGATCAAACCCTTGTTGTACTAACAGATCTTGAATCGTACTTTGCCATAACATAAAATTACTCTTTCCATCAAATAACGGAATCTCAAACTTAGGCATAGACATACCAGACATACCAGACATACTTTCTTCAGACATCTTCAAATACTGTTTCACGATCTCTTGGACCCACGAACCTCGAACCTTGAACCTCGCTCTGATACCACTTGTTGGGAAATACCACAATACCCACGCGCAGCAACCACACACAAAATAACAAGCTCAAATCAAAAATAAGAAAACACAAATATATTTGGTTCAGCCCAACTCAAAATGGCCTACTCCAAATCTAATCCACTATCAAATAAATCTTTACAATTGTGAGACTTTTAGAATGAGAAAAGTTTCCTAAAACTCCTTACTCAAAACTTAACCCAAAACCCAATTACACCCTTTAATAGCCTACTCACTTAGCTATTCTCTTGATGTCTAACTCTCTGGGGTTACCAAACTAAAACCAAAACATCTTATTTATAAGGGTGAAACCTTTTATACCTTTACTAAACTCCCGATGTGGGATACAAGATAAATTCAAACTTACTTAACTTTCGATGTGAGATTCTGAGATTCAAAGCAAATCCCAACAATTTTTTCCTTCTTTAGCATTTTTAATTTGTATGCATGTCAAAATCTTTTCTTTCTCTTTAGATTTGAATTTGAGGCTGATTTTTTTTCTTTAGCTATCTGAGCTAGCTTTTCTCCTATTTTCCTCGTCGTCTTTTGCCACATTTCTTTCTTGCTCATCATCTTTTCAATTCACCAACCAAATGGCAATGAACTCATCATATTTTCCTTTGCCGTTTCATCTTCAACAAAAGGCCCAACCTTGTGCCCCCTAGCCCAGCTTGTACCGGTCACCTCTACTACTGTCTATCCTGTGCTAGTTGCCCCTTTCTCCGACGTCTATTTTCTTCCTCAATATCAACAGGTTAGCAGAACAATAAATTAAAAACATATGTTTCTTTTTTTGTAAATTTAAAAAAAAAGTAGAAAGAAATTAATTAAACCTCATTGCATTGATCGATTAGACAATGAGAGAAGAAAAAAAACGACATGTCGTAGTTGAGAATGGTAGTGAACAAAACGATGGAGGTTGGGAACAAGAATAACCTCACTCGAAATATCAAGAACTATACCAATACCATTGTTTATCATACTGGCTGTCACCGAATGAGCCAAACTCTTTAGAGATCGCATTGTAATTTCTTTCTTTTTCTTATTTATTATTTTTTAATTATTAGTATTATTTATTTGCATATTGAGGTGTTGAGGTTAGATGTTAGTTAGTTTGAAAGGTTTTCATGTAGATATATATATTTTCTAATTTTGAAATTTTAGAGTAATTTTTTAAGAAACTAATCTCTATAGAGGCAATGATGTCGAGTTTGAAAAGGATATCTCAGATATAAGATGTTGTGGTATACAAATTCTATCTGTCATCTTGAATATAAATGATAAAGCAATTGCAAAGTTTAGTGTTGGGGCTGAATAAGCACATTCATATTTATTGCGGTTTGTTTAACTTTATTGCGAATTATTTAAATAGACCAAGATAAAGCTTACATAGTTTGTATTTTTTTGTTAAATATTGTGTTGATAAAAATAAGCATATTCATTATTCTCTACAATCTAAATTGAATACTTATGCATCACTTTAATTTTATTATTTGTTGAAGTTGAAGTATGATTCAATTAATTCATATAATTATTATTAAAAAAAATTTTAATAGATAAAGAATTCAAATTTAAATAATTAAAACACCTTTCTCTATTTTTAGTTTCATGATTTTTTTTTTGTGAAAAAGGAAATTATTTGGTTTGATGTATATATTAAATTCTAATATGAAAATTGAAAAGATTTGCTCCTTTCAGACATACTTTTCAATCTTAATCTTCATATATATAAGTTTGAAATAAGAATATAGATTAGCTAGATGGGTATTTTAAAAAAGTTTAATATTCAAAAAATCATTTAAAAAAAGAAGTATAAGAATACATTTTAACTAACTAGTACTTATTATATATTAATATAATAAAAATAAAAATATATTTTATATTTGATATATCTTTTGGTTGAAAAGACTCAAGCAACATCTTTGTTTAAAATAATAAAAAATTATTGAATTTTATTATTTTGTTTAAATAAATTTTTATATTTTTATTATATCCAAACAAATATTTAATCTTTAATTTATATTTAAATAAACCTTGAATATAAATTAATTTTTTATTTAAAATAAAGATTTATATAAACACAAATAAAAATATAAAAATTTATATAAATAAAATTGAATAATTTAAAGATTTTTAAAATAATATTTTAGCCAATATCTTTTTGGTGAAGGCCAAGTAAGATACCTGACTTTTTTAATTTGTAAGCCAGAAGAGAATAATTTCGCGTCGAAATTAAAACTTGGGGAGATTCTTTGAGCACAAAGCCCTGGGGCGGGGGGGAAGTGTTGTTATTCTTTACTTGGTATATGTCAAATGGAGTAATAGTAACTTCACAAAAAATGTTTGGTAAATTTTTTTTACAAAAAAAAAAAAAAAAAAAACCAAAGCCATTTAATATGATTTGATATTTATAAAACAGAATTCTTATTAATTATTCAAAAATTATTTTTATTAAATAAAACAATCAATAATATAATGATACGCTTAATATTTTTTATTGCTTAATTTTTATTACATTAATATTTTGACTAACAATATTAATTAATGATATAAAATATTTGATAAAATTAAATTTTAAATATTTAATTATGAATTTTTTAAGTACAAAATAATTAAAAATAATAAATTTAAAAGTTAAACTATATTAGCCCTAAAATAATCTTGAATTTTGAGATGATTTAATAATTTTCCAATAATGAACTAAGTTTTTTAATATCAAAATTCAAAAGATTATTGAGAAGATTTAGACCAACATTGTCCTTAAAACAAATTGAAGTCTTAATCCATTAAAATGCAAAAAGAAACAAAAAGAAAGTTGACTTTGTGAATTACGCTTCCACGTTATTCCAGAGGATATATTTTCACCAGGAAACAAATGGGACCGTAACCGAAAGCACAACGTAAAAACTAAAGCGCCTTTCGTGAATTCCGATTCCACGTTATTCCTGAGGATATATTTTCTCCAGGAAACAAATGGAACCTTAATCGAAAGCACAACCTCAAGACTTAACTCTCCTCTCCCAGTTCCCCTCCGTTCGAGCTTTCTCAGCTCCGCTACGCTCCACCGGCCAAAGATGAGGAAACGCACCGTTTACGCATGGGGGGTCGCGATTCTCTCTTTTATAGTGCTGATGATCGTCACTCCCGCCATACCCCAGTCTCAAGAGTACCATGATTTCGCCGATCAACGAGAATTCTTCGGTTAATTCCAATTCACTCTTTATAATTGATATTTTCTTTACTATCAATTTTTTTTTTCTTTAAAATTCTGGTGATTCAAGAACTATGGTAAAGTTTTATAACTGGCTTATTGGAAAACGTAAAAACTTCAATGAGAAATGGAATCAGTTAAAACCCCATAGTTAGAATTACTATGGTGATGGGTGCTTATTTTTGTTGCTTTTGCAGGTATACCCAATACTTTAAATGTGTTGTCGAATTTTCCCTTCCTAGTTATCGGTGTCATAGGTCTTGTACTTTGTTATTATAAGAATTATTTCAAGCTCTGGTAAGTTGTGATCTTGTGGTTATATCAAATTATATCAGTCTTGATGCTGAAGAAATTCTGTGGTCTATGAGTTTTTAATTGAGTTTTACATCTGGAACAAAGTTTGCAAGGTGAACTATGGGGCTGGACTTGTTTTTTCATTGGTGTGGCTGCTGTTGGGGTTGGTTCCTCTTACTATCATCTCGACCCAAATGATGCTCGGCTTGTGTGGGATAGATTGCCGGTCAGTTTATTTACTCTTGATGCATAATAGTTATTTTGGGATTTTTTTGGTATTTTGTTTTAACAATTCTCTAATTGAGGCATGTATAGATGACTGTTGCATTCACATCGATTGTGGCAATATTTATCATTGAAAGAATTGATGACAAGAAGGGAACAGTTTCCATCATACCACTGCTGCTGGCAGGTGTAATCAGTATTGTGTACTGGAGGCAAGCATGCTGCTTAATTGCCCTTTTCTATTATGTCACAGTCCATTTCTTATAAGTATTTACTGTTGAAATTTATTTACGAGTTGAGGACCTTTTTCTCTGATTTTTAGATGAACTCCTTGCCTCGGTCCTGTGAAATTATTTTCCTTCCAATATGAGAACAAGATTTTTTTTTTTTCATTTTTTCTATTGACTAGTTTTATTAGAGATCAGGGAGTGATGACAGGTTGGGATGCCTGATGAAAATGTGCTTTTTGGGCTAAAATGCGAATCCTAATCGTGCTAGTTTTTGTGTCTACTGATCCATTCAAACCGGGATGTCTAAACTTTTAAAATATATCCTTCCGCTGGCTCTTTCAACAAGTATTGCTCACTACAGATTTTCTGTGGCAGGTTTTTTGATGACCTCCGACCTTATGCGCTGGTGCAGTTTGTTCCTTGCATTGCTATCCCACTGATGGCTATCTTGTTGCCTCCAATGTACACTCATTCCACATATTGGCTTTGGGCAGCTGGTTTGTGCCTTTTCATCCATGCCTCCCTTGTAGATTTCAAATATATCATACACACATGCATATGAGTATTAATAATTTAATATAATTCTATTATGGCAGGATTCTATCTTTTAGCTAAGGTAGAAGAAGCAATGGATAAAGTAATATACAAATGGACCCATCATATTATTAGTGGGCACACACTTAAGCACTTGTTTGCTGCCATGGTTCCTGTGTTCTTGACACTTATGCTGGCGAAGAGGACGATTGAAACAAATAGGTATTCTTCTTGTTTGTACCATCTTATGGTGTCCAAGATTCTGAGAATCTGATGTTTAATCACTGAAATAAAGGCGTTTACCGTATATATCTCTGTGATAAGATTCCAATTCCATATTCATCTTGTAATAAAGTCAGGGTTGCATTTTTCAGATGTTTGCCGATAGCTTTAATCTTTGCTTGATAGATTAATACCAAAATTTTCCAACTTCACCCCATTCTAATCTTTCTTATGTTAAATAGTGACAATAGATAAGCCTCTTTTTATGGTTAGAAAACTGAACCAGATGGTTGAGTAATTCATTCCTGCTGGTTACTACATTGATCTTCCGATTTCTATGGCATTTACACTAAATTGTTGTGGACTTGTTGAAATATAGTAGATGATGAAGCGCTTGTAGATTGGTAGCAAAGGAAACGATGGTGGTAACTAAGTTGTGGTTAGTCTATGCTGATTGTTGTTGTTGGCGCAAAAGTCAGGGGCATTAGTGATTGTCAGAGTAGGCAATGGTAATAGTAATATGTTGGTTGCTGTGGGGGTGGTAATGCCAGCTGGACTGCAGTTGTATTTTATTTATTTTTCAACGTATTTAATTCTTTTGGATGGTTAATTTGGTGTTAATGCTTTCTTGATTGAGTTCTTTAGTCTTCTAATCAAGCAGATTGCACCTTGTTTAGCTTTTTGTGATTGCTGGTTTTCTGATAATCAGTGCTACAAACTAAGGTCACTGTATCATCCCAACCACGATCTAAGTCACTCTCACACCATCTCTAATGCATTTATGCCGGTTCTTATTATGCAGGATAAGCCTACTGAAGACATGGAAAGTTTCATGGACAAAGATCAAGGGAAACGGTTCCAAGGTGGAAAGTTGCACGTATACCTACACCAGTGTTCAACCTGAGGATTCGCATTGACTTGCAATTAAATTCTCCTAACAAAATTTCATACTTTCATGTAACAAGAGAAATAGTTGTCGTTGTGTTTAGAAATTTGAACAAATTATCATGTTTGTAAATACTATAGAAAAGAATTATTTCTTATGCACTGATGGACTTCTTATTCTCACTGTTTCATTCATTGTATACGATTCTCAGTTCTAATTTCAGTACCTTTTAAAGAACACAAGAAATAAAGAAAAAAAATGTAGTAAAAGATTCAGATCAAAATATTAATATATTATAGAATTAAAAGCAGCAACATTGGGGTGGTGGCGCAGTTGGCTAGCGCGTAGGTCTCATAGCTTCTGAGTTATCCTGAGGTCGAGAGTTCGAGCCTCTCTCACCCCAAAAGTTTGCCCTTTTTTTCTAAAATCTAGACCATGGGTTGAAAGGCCCAAAACAATCCAACACTGAAAATCGGCCCGAGCTCAAAACATTTGCTTCTTAGAGTAGTAAAAGAAAATCACAGCCGATGAGGCTTTGGTTGAGTAAAAGAAGTCCTATGTTTAAGTTTAATCGTGTGTAAATTTGATTGTTTAATTATGTTTTAATTTATAGTTGATTATTTAGTAATATATGATATATGAATGTAATAATTGATTATGATTGTAATTTCATAAAAAAAACATACAGATAAAATGGTCCATACTTAATAAGCAAAGATTTAATGCCTTAATCTACCAATTTATATTGTAACTAGCTCAAGATTTTTAACCAGGTAAATTTTATATTCGTTGATTTGTTCTTTTTTTTTTTTCAATAACAATACTCGAAGGCAAAAGAAACAAAATAGAATTTTGGGATCACATTTCAACTTTTAAAAATAAAATTTGAAAGACTCCTTTACAGACCTTGTTTTCAAGGCACAAATTTGCCTCTTATCAACTAAACATGTTGAAACTTGAGAGATAATTTATGAAACCTAACTTCAGCAAGATAGGGATAGGCGGATGAGGCTTGGGATAGGGTCTGGCTCTAAGAAGTTTGTTGCGATAGCCTGCTTACAGCAAGCACAGTTAAATTTTCCAGATCCCAAAATTTAACTTTTGCTGGTACCTTAGAAGATCACAGCAAGAAAAGAAAATAATAGAAATTTATGAGTCAAATTTTTTAAGCTTTTACTTAAAACTGGCTTTCAAAGAGTTCTACAGGTGCAGGCCACACTGCCACAGAAAGAGTCCGAGACTCTCTTATGTCTCACACTCTTAATGCTGTTCCTAATTACCAATAGTCCCCACAGGAACAAGCACCTTCTCTGAAGTGATGGAAACGATTCACATCTCTCACAACAATTTCTCTTCCATAAATTTTTGATATGAACTTGATAACTGTGTGACAATCCCCACAGATTCGGAGGTTTTTAGTTATGCGAAGAACTACTTCAGGGGTTGTGTTAATTAGCCCAAAAGCAATGGCCAGCTTTTCACTATGAGTAATGAGGTTATGTTCTTTCTCTTCTTCACTAATGTCATGCAACACAAAACTGGTATTAGGTGTATAACCAGCTGCCTTTATTTTTTCCGGCAATGCTTGCATCAGGTTATATATTTCCTTCGCCTGAGGGTGAGATGCATCTCCACTAAGGAACAAGTGCGGTTTTCCATTGATCTCAATCCAACTGCATCCAGGGTTCTTCTTGATGCCTTGACATTTTAAACGAGCTCTCAATTTATCCACCTCCTTCCACATGCCAGCTTCGGCATACATATTTGAAAGCAGAATATAATTACAACTGTTTTCTGGTTCTAAAACAAACAGCTCGTTTGCCGCCATCTCAGCAATCTCTAAATTTCTACTTTTCCTACAAGCAGCTAACAAAGCACCCCAAATGCTCGGTCCCGGTTGCATTGGAATTTTATCAATAAACTCCTTAGCTTCTACCAATCGTCCAGCACGACCCAAAAGATCTACAACACAAGCATAATGCTCATGTCTTGGTTTGACAGAGTAAACTGTCTGCATAGAATTAAAGTACTTTAATCCAATCTGAACAAGACCAGAATGACTGCATCCAGACAACAACCCTGTGAATGTGATGGCATCAGGGTATACCGCAGCTCTAACCATGTTCTCAAAAGTTGACACAGATTCCAAACCCTGACCATGAGAAGCATAAGCAGTAATCATTGCATTCCAAGCACACAAATTCTTTTCATTTTCCGGTATTCTATTGAAACAACAACGAGCATCAACAAGGCTGCCACATTTAGCATACATTGCAATAAGTGCAGTCTGCACTGAAGTATTTGACTCCAAACCAATCCTATTAACATATTCATTAATCCGTCTCCCGCGTTCAAGAGCGGCTGAATGTGCACAAGCAGGCAAAACACTCATTATTGTTACCCAATTGGGCTTAACCTCAGAATCTTCTTTCAACATCTCATCAAACAAACTCAATGCCTCCTCAGCTAGCCCATTTTGGGTGTAACCTGAAATCATAGCCGTCCAAGAAACTATATTCCTACGCGGCATTCTCCCAAACAAGTCCTCAGCTACCCGAATCTCACCTTCTTTCATATACCCCGCAATCAAAGCATTCCAAGAGGACACAGCTCTTACAGTCATTAGATCAAACATCTTATTTGCATCCCTTAATTCACCTATTTTTACATAAAAATCAATCAAAGAAGTCCCGAGATAAGCATCAAACTCCATCCCAAATCTCAAACTTTGTCCATGAACACATTTTCCCATCCAACCATCCAAGACATTAGTGCATGATTTAAGTACAAAAGGAAACGTGAAATGATCACCCTTGAGTCCTAAACAATGCATTTTACAATAAATATCTATAGTTTTCAAAGGGTACCCATAATTTGTATAAGCTCTAATAATTGAATTATATAACAAAGAAGTTGGGTTTTTGATTTTATCAAAAACTGTTACAGCTGATTCAAGATCACCTGAACTAGCATACATGGCAACCATTTTGGCGCCAAGAAAAGCACTGGGTTGGAGCCCATGAATGGTCATGTGAGCATGGATTTGTTGGCCTAACTTTAAGAAGTTTTGGGCAGTCAAGAATTGGAAAAGGGGTGCATAGGATAGCAGGTGAGGTGGATTTTGATCTGAAATGGGTTCTAAGAGAGTTTGCAAGGTTGAAGTGTAGGGAGAAGGCATTGGAGTTGTGCATTTTGGTTGTGAAGAATCAACGTGGGATTGAATTATTGGGAGAAGGGTTTCGGGATGGGGTGGTTTGGAAAGTATTGTTGTAGATGAAGAGAGCAGGCCGCGAAGCATTTGAAGGGAAGTGTGCTCGCTAAGTGTATTTTGGGGAACTTCCTAACCAGTTCCTTAAACTAGTACAAAAAAATTTTTTGGCCAAAAAAATAATGTTTGATTTTCTTATTAATAAATTTTCACTTTCAAAAAATTTAAGTTGATTCGTGACTAAAGCTAGCTTTAGATTTTATTGTATTTTTTGTGTTATTAAATTGAGTTTATCGCAATCTTAATTGAATTTAAATATTATCTTCAATATAATTTATTTAATATAAATTTTTTATCATAGATTATTTTAATAGTAATTATAATAAATTTTTTTAATAATAATTACATTAATTATTATTATTATTTTTAGATTCATCAAAATCAATTTTATCGTCGACTCATCTAAATGAAATCTAAGAAAATCTGCTAATAACTCTAATTCAAGAAATAATAAAAAATAATTTTTAATAAATTTATTAAACCTACTTAAATAAATCTACTTTAGTAAACTAAAAAAAAACCATTATTAGCAAAACCCAAAATCTATTGCCCTTAAAAGAACTACATACACAACTTTGCCAAAAGAAAAATAACCTAAACCTTCTATCAATCGAATACTCAGGTACTAATTATTATTATTATTATTATTTAATAATATTAATTTCTAGCCAGAAACATTTATTATTAGTTATTAATAATAATTCTAAATAACCAAGATCAAATTGCAATAGCCAGTTATAGACAAGACAAAATACAAAGCCTAACTGATAGAATAAAGAAAAAAAAAAAGGAACATTCCAATCTGAAGTTCTTTAGTGTCTCTAAATGCAAAGACATATTCACTTGCGCAATCTTTCTTCGAATGGAGAACAGTTTTCAGTTACTGTTAACCATTTGCATTCATTCTCAAACATGCTGAAGTCTACTTGTTTGAACAAACCTATTGGATTCAAAGTAACTTGCCATTGATCCTTTCCACAACAGTTATGAGTCCTTGAGTACCAAGCTTACCATCCCCATTAGCCACCATTGCTGAAAACAATTGTTTACACAAAGCTGACCCTGGCAAAACCACCACTTTCCCATCATCGTCTTCCTTCACAACATCCACTCCCAACCCCAAATCCTTCACCATATACTCCACAAACCCACCTGGCTTGAAATCCCTCTCAATCATTCTTCCACCAAATAACTCCATTGCCATTGACCCTGCACCTCCTCCTCTAATCGACTCCATGTACTTCCTCAAATCCAACCCGGCTTTCTCTGCAAAAACGAACCCTTCACTTAAACCCATCAAGTTAGCCCCCACCATTATTTGGTTACCAATCTTACAACTCTGCCCACATCCTGCTTCCCCCATATAAGTGACTCTTCCCATCAAATCAAACAAGGGTTTCAGCCACTCCACCACGGAACTTTCTCCACCAGCAAAAATAGCCAATTTCCCTTCTCTAGCTCCAATATCGCCCCCGGAAACCGGAGCATCGACTGACCAGCAACCCTTTTTACAAGCTGAAGCGTAGATCTCGCGCGCCAAAGATGGGCTGCTGCTGGTGTGATCTACAATGACGGCACCAGGATTAAGGGTTGAAAGGATACCGTCGGTTTCTAAGACAATTTGTTTGACATCTTGTGGGTTGCCCACCATGGTGAAAACTACATCGCATTGACAAGCGAGTTCTTGTGGGGAATTGGTTAGATGGGCACCTTGGGACTGGAGAGACGAGGCTTTTGATGGCGTGCGAGCGTAGATGGTGAGGGAATAGCCGGCAGAGAGGAGGTGAGAAGCCATGGCAGCACCCATTACGCCTATCCCAATCCAGCCGATGCGGGTTTGGGAGGGGGAGATGGGTTTTGGGTAGGGAGTTTCCATGGAGATCGGACAGAGATGTAGCAGTTTGTGGTATATGCAAGAAAAGAGGTAGCGACTGATGACTTGATGAAGAGCTGAGGCGTTGCTGAGGATATTTGGCTTGGTAATTAGTCAAGAGAATGATGGTTAGTAATTTTGTGTATAAAATATTAATTTTTTTTATCTTTTTATACGTTTTATGTTTTATAATTTATAATGTTAAAAAGGTATGAAAATTATAAAAAAATAAGAGATTTATAATGTAGTAAGATTCCGTTGTTTCCCACTTGCTTTTTGTTTGCAGACTCCGTGCGAATGGTGCAAAAGAGTAACATTTTTATTACTTGATTTGATTGATCAATGTATTGACGACCTTGTTAGGAAAATGGGATCAAATCTCATGTAAGTGGTTTTGGACCAAGTAAAGGTCATGGGCCTTGATCTTTTATTTTACACAGAGTCCTAGCTACTTAATAAAAAAAAGAGGTGGGGTTGTTTTATGTGTGTGTCGACAACCAAGCAGAGAAAGAAGAAAAGTCAGGAAAAGCAGAGAGAGAAAAAGGAGAAGGGAGAATTGGTTAAACGGAAGTCGATCCATGGTCCGATTGAGTTGGAACCTTGTCAGGAGGTTTATGATTCAGAGTTATACATTCTGAACGGTGAAGATTGGGTTTGAAGCTCTCTAGGAACAAATCCAGAGTGTATTTGTTGAGTCACTTATTTGGTGAGATTTCTCAAATTGTTTCTCTAGTTGTTGATTAGCTCTAGTTTTAGCTAGAGAAGAACTTTGTATAACTATTATTTGATAGTGAAGATTTTTCTGGTGGCTTGTGGTTTTTTCTCTCTACACTGGAGGGTTTTCCACGTAAATCTTGGTGTGCTTTATTTTTCCTGCGCATTTGATTATTGATTATTGTCTATTGCTTCTGTATTATTGTGATTATTGCTTCAGGCGCAACAAGTGGTATCAGAGCGAGGGTTATTTTGAGACATCGATACAGAAGCATCCCAGGATAAAAGTAAATTCTGTTTGAGATCAAGGAGGGTGATACAGGTTCCATGATAAAATTGACAGCATCGAATTATTCAATTTGGAAGCCTATGATGGAGGATCATTTATACTGTAAAGATTTGTATGAGCCAGTATTGGGTGATACGGCTAAACCAGCAGATATGAAAGATAAAAGCTGGAAGAAGCTAGGTAGAAAGACGCTGGCTACAATCAGAAAATGGGTTGATATCAGTGTGTTTCATCATGTAGCGCAGGAGTCAGATGCTCACATTGTTTGGGAAAAATTGGCAGAATTGTATGAGAGAAAAACAGGTATGAATAAAGTTATGCTTGTTAAAAAGATTGTAACTTTACAGTACAGGGATGGACGATCTGTTATAGAGCACTTGAGTGATTTTTAAGATATATTTAATCGGATGACTACTATGGAACTTAAGATGGATGATGAAATGAAGGTATTATTTCTTTTCGGTTCATTGCCAGACAGCTGAAATACTCTAGTTGTGACTGTTCTTAATTCAGCTCCTGATTATAAGATGACATTGGAGATGGTAAAGGACAGTATGCTTAATGAAGAAGCGAGGCGAAAAGATGTAGACCCTGGGAATCAAGCTCTGGTCACAGAGAACAGGGGTAGAAACATCGACAGAGGTCAGGACTCAAAAGGCCGTGGTAAGTCTAAACATAGATCCAAGTCTAGAGGTAAAGTGAAGTGTTTCCATTGTGGTAAGGCGGGTCATATAAAACGAAACTGTAGAATCTTAAAGCAAGAGCGAAAAGATGAGAAAGGTAAGAGTTCAGATGATGGTAATGTTGCAGCAGTGAATTCAGATAGTGATTCAGTTACTTTGATTTGTACACATGGTGATTGTAATCATGTTAGTGATCCCGGCATTGAGTGGATAGTTGACACAGGAGCGGCATATCATTGTGTTCCTAAGGAGAGAGTTTGTTTACAACTTACAAAGCAAGAACTTTGGTGTTGACCAAGATGGGAAACAAGAGTGTGCGCAGATTGTTGAGATTGGTGATATTGTTGTACAAACTAGTACAGGCTGCATGTTGACTTTGAGGGATGTCAGACACATTCCAGATATGAGAATGAACTTGCTTGCTATTAATGTCCTTGATAATGAGGGATATGAAAGTCGACAAAAGAATGGACAGTGGGAAGCTTCTCAAAGGATCTATGGTAGTTACAAGGGGAAAACTATGCTGCACTATGTATAAGACATGGATGCAATTGAACGGTAAACCAGGTAAATACCGTTGAAAATGATGCTTCAGCAAACTTGTGGCACAAGAGGCTGGCACACATGAGTGAAAAGGGTTACAGGTTTTGGCAAGGCACTCTCTCATTCCCTTGACCAAAGGTATGTCTCTCGATTCATGTGATTATTGTTTGTTTGTAAGCATCATAGAGTTTCTTTTCGTAAAAGTTCTCAGAGAAAAAGAAAATAGATTGGAATTAATTTATTCTGACGTATGTGGTCCCATTGAGGTTGAGTCATTAGGTGGTAGCAGATATTTTGTTACTTTTATTGATGATGCTTCACGTAAGACTTGGGTGTATATGTTGAAATATAAAAGTCAGGTACTGCAGTATTTTTAAAAATTTCATGCCATGGTTGAAAGGATGATAGGGTTACCCTTGAAGTGTATTCAAACTGATAATGGTAGGGAATACACATCTAAAAGCTTTGAAGAGTATTGCTCAAAGCATGGAATCAGGCATGAGAGGACAGAACCTGGAACACCGCAGCATAATGATATAGCTGAAAGAATGAATCGCACCATTGTGGAAAAAGTCAGATGTATGTTAAGGATGGCAAAATTACCAAAGCCATTCTGGGGTGAAGCAGTCAACACAGCTTGTTATTTACTTAACAGGTCAACATCAGTTCCTTTGGGCTTTGACATTCCAGAAAGAGTGTGGACAGGAAAAGATGCTTCATACTCTCACTTGAAAATTTTTGAGTGTAAAGCATTCATGCATGTGCCGAAAAAGCAGAGATCAAAGCTTGACAGTAAAAGCTACACAGTGTGTGTTTGTAGGATATGGTGATGAGGAATTTGACTACAGGGTATGGGATCCAGTAAAGAGAAAGACAGTCAGAAGCAGAGATGTGGTCTTTCATGAAAAAGAAACTATAGCAGATCTTGAGAAAAATGAGAAGACTACACGAGTTACTGTTGAGTGTGATGTTTCAACACCGACAGAGATTTCACAGGAAAGAGCCACAGATGGTGAAAATGAGCCAGAAACAGAACTTGAGGATATGGATGAGCCAGCTACAGTTGGTGATGAGCCAGATGCTATTAGTTTTGAGTAGGGGGAGCAATCCTCTCTACCTGAGAGTGTTGAGCAGGGGGAGCTACCTTCGGCATCAAGTGATGTAGAGTCTCAGCTTAGGAGATCTACTAGAGAGCGCAGGTCATCTACCAGGTATCCAAGTTCAGATTTTATTTTAGTTACCAGTGAAGGGGAGCCAGAAGCTTTCAAGATGTGCAGGCTACTCCGGATAGAGAGCACTGGTTAAAAGTAAAGAAAGAATAGATGGAGTCATTACGAAAGAATGGTACTTATGATCTTGTTAAACTTCCAACAGGAAAGAGGCCATTAAAGAATAAATGGGTGTTCAAGTTGAAAAATGATGGTGACAAACTAGTGAGGTACAAAGCTCGATTGGTAGTAAAAAATTTTTCTCATAAACCAGGCATCGATTTTGATGAGATTTTTGCTCCAATTGTAAAAATGAGTTCTATTCGAGTAGTACTGGGATTGACAGCTAGTTTGAATCTTGAACTTGAGCAACTTGATGTTAAAACTGCATTTTTGCATGGTGATTTGCAGGAGGACATTTATATGAATCAGCCTGAAGGTTTTGAAGTGAAAGGGAAAGAGCACTTAGTTTGCAAATTGAAGAAAAGCTTGTATGGCTTGAAACAAGCTCCATGACAGTGGTACAAGAAGTTTGATTCTTTTATGGTGAGTCATAGCTATAAAAGAACAGCAGCAGATTTTTGTGTGTATGTTAAACAATTCCCTAATGGTAACTTCATTATCCTATTATTATATGTTGATGATATGTTGATTGTAAGACAAGATGCTAGTATGGTTTGCAGGTTGAAAGAACAATTGTCTAAGTCTTTTGATATGAAAGATTTAGGTCCAGCAAAGCAGATTCTTGGTATGGACATTATCCGGGATAGGAGAGCTGGAAAGCTGTGGTTGTCACAGGAAAAGTATGTTGAACGAGTGCTTGGTAGATTCAACATGCAATATGCTAAATCAGTTAGCAGTTCACTTGCCAACCATTTTCACCTAAGTAAGAAATCTTATCCAGTGTCTAAGGAAGAGCAACTAGCTATGTCTAGTATTCCTTATTCTTCTGCAGTCGATTCTTTAATGTATCTTATGGTTTGTACAAGGCCTGACATTGCTCATGCAGTTGGTGTAGTGAGCAGATTTCTTTCTAATCCAGGAAAGGTTCATTGGGAAGCAGTGAAATGGATTTTTAGATATTTGAGGGGTACCTCAAAAATGTGCTTGACTTATGGAGTTTCACAACCAGTTCTAGAAGAGTTTACTGATGCTGACATGGCAGGCGATCTTGATGGTAGAAAATCTACTTCAGGTTATTTGTTCACTTTTGCAGGAGGAGCTGTATCTTGGCAGTCTAAGTTACAGAAGTGTGTTGCTTTGTCAACTACAGAGGCTGAGTATATTGCAGCAACCAAAGCATGTAAAGAAATGCTTTGGATGAAATGTTTTCTTCTTGAATTGGGGTTGAATCAGAAAGAGTATGTGATATTTTGTGATAGCCAGAGTGCTTTAGATTTGAGTAAGAATACCATGTACCATGCTAGAACAAAGCACATTGATGTTAGATATCATTGGTTACGTTCGGTGATTGAAGAACATCATATGCTATTGAAGAAAGTCCATACTGATAAAAATGTGACAGATATGTTGACTAAGATACTTCCCAGGGAAAAGCTTGAGCTTTGCAGTAACTTGGCCGGAATGAGTTCCCTGGCCAAGGTAAGTTCCAAATGAAACTGCTATAGTGATGAATCTCCTCCTAATGGGGCTGGAGGGGGAGATTGTTAGGAAAATGGGGTCCAGTCCCATGTAAGTGATTTTGGACCAAGTAAAAGCCATGGGCCTTGATCTTTTATTTTACACAGAGCCCTAGCTACTTAATAAAAAAAAGAGGTGGGGTTGTTTTATATGTGTGTCGACAACCAAGCAGAGAAAGAAGAAAAGCCAGGAAAAGCAGAAAGAGAAAAAGGAGAAGGGAGAGTTGATTAAACGGAAGTCGATCCGTGGTCCGATTGAGTTGAAACCTTGTCAGGAGGTTTATGATTCAGAGTTATACATTCTGAACGGTGAAGATCGGGTTTGAAGCTCTCTAGGAACAAATCCAGGGTGTATTTGTTGAGTCACTTATTTGGTGAGATTTCTCCAATTGTTTCTCTAGTTGTTGATTAGCTCTAGTTTTAGCTAGAGAAAAACTTTGTATAACTATTATTTGATAGTGAAGATTTTTCTGGTGGCCCGTAGTTTTTTCCCTCTACACTGGAGGGTTTTCCACGTAAATCTTGGTGTGCTTTATTTTTCTTGCACATTTAATTATTGATTGTTGTCTATTACTTCTGTATTGTTGTGATTATTGCTTCAGGCGTAACACTCATGACTATAATGTATTAGCCTCTCCTCTTGCTAGTTGTGCCAGTCTTTCATTGCTTTGATCTTCCCTCCTCTATTTTGTTCCAGCTGCAGCAAGTACTAGGCTTCATTTGTCACGATGAAGCATAATTTATCGTGTTGGCTCTCTTTTTTTAATTGGACCTTTAAGGTAAATTGGAGTTTTATTTTTTCAATCACAGCTATTCTTTCTTTTATATCTCTTTTGTCTTCTCACAATAATTTTTGTAATTATAAAATATATTATTTATATAATTATTTAATAAAATTATTAATAAATATATAAATAAATAATTCATTTTATAATCAAATAAATTTCTAGTAAATATTAAAAACATTTTTTATAATTAATTAATTAAAATAGATAACTAAATAAATAATAAAATAAATTAGTATTATTAACTTTTATTTAGGATGTGTAAATATGTTTGTTTTATTTAAATAATAATAATTTTTTATTAATATTTGAATATTTAATGTTGTTATATATTTTTATTTTAATATTATATTTATAACTGTTACAAGTATTATTTTTTGAAATATTAAATATTTCAAATAATTTTTTATACTTAAAATTTTAACTATTATTTTAATATAATTTAATGTCTCAATATTTTGATTGAATAAAATTTTAATATATTAAATGTTAAATAATATTAAAATATAGATAAAAAATAATTTATTAGTATATTTTTAAACTAATATTTTTAATGATAATTTTTTTTTATTATAATTTATTTCATCGTTATTGTTGTTTTTGCATTCAAACGTATATTTCACCATTAATTTTAATTTTATTATTACAATATCTAATCTCATCATTTAGTAATTAATCTTACATTTATTGTTGTTTTTAATTTTACTGAAATTAATTTTACTGTTTATCCAAACGGAACCTTACCAAAACTTTCTCGGCAAACAGCCAATGAAATACCAGTCATGGTATTAGCCCTCCCCTGGTTGTGACATCCCCTTACATTAAGCAGGGGAACTGAAATAGCCACTTGATAACAAGGAAACAAAAATAGCTGTTCTATTTACTTTACAATTTTGTTGGCAATATTGCAGACTTGGGTTCTGATTTGCCCTTTGGCCAAAGGAATCTTTTTCATGCTACAAAAATAAAAGTACGTTATCCAACAAACAAACGGTAAATGTTTTGTTTTAGAACTTGTCCTTAAAACGCTTAGACACCATCTTAAGCACATCAACAAGGAAAATGGAAACGTAAAGAATATGCCAATGAGCTACAACATTGTGACCAGCGATAGTACCTAAACTACAACCTTGTCCCAGTCGTCAATGGATATTTAGAAACCGTCTTCTACAAAGCTCAATGCAGCATTCTAAAGACCATCGTTCATTACTTGTTTTCAGATTGACAGGCACAAAGCTATCAACAAAGAGGAAAAATGACGTCTCAAACGGATTCAGTCGCAAGAGAGAGTGTGACAGTTGTGATGGATGCTAACAGAAACAAAGGAATGGTGGATGCGCTTGACTGGGCTCTTTAACACGTTGTTCGCCCCAAAGACACCGTGATTGTTGTCGGTGTTCTAGGTGATATGGGAAAGAAGAACCCTTCTTGCTTTCGAAGAAATATTGGGATTAGCATGTCTGGAATATGTGAGCTTTTTCATGTCCCACAAGCTTTCTCCTTTTGCTTCTTTGTTTGTTTGAATAGGAAATGTTTTCTGCATGGCGATACAATCCATATAAAAAAGTTAAATTTAGAAGAAAATTATTTACCTCAAAGACAATTTGCTTTGCCAAACCTGCGGGACTTATATTAGATAATCATCATCATAGCTCTAGATTCTTCAGGCTAAGAAAGATTTTCTGAAAACTGGGTTCAAAGTGCTTGGTATAATCAATAATGGTATCTGACCAGACTGTCCTGCTGGCATCTCATTTTACAGTAAGGTGTCATGGACTGGTATTAGTTCTTCCAATCCTTTTAATACTCGATATATAATGCAAAATGGAATTCAGCGTCAAGTTCTGCAGGAAAATTAGTTGTCAGATGGCGTAGCCTGCAGAATATTATGGGTTACTAATTCAGCTACGTCCATAATAGGCATGCTAAATACATTACAGGGGAAAAGTTGGAGTTTTCATCCGGACATGCAGAGGTGAATCCTAGAGAGCTTGGAGAAGAAATTGAGAGAAAAAGGGGAGAATACCAGACTAACCTCCAACCATTCTATCGACAATGCAAAAGAAATGAGGTAGGTGAATCTCATCATTTATCCTTAGCAAAAGGATTTTACTGCAATCTACCCTAAAACATTGTACTGATCACGTGAAGTTGGAGGTCAAACTTGCTGCAGGATTATGTCCTACAGAAATAACACTCAAAGAAGCACAAAACTCTAACACACGATGGATTGTTCTCGATAGGTATTCATTCCCCTGATCCTTTAAGGCCTAAAAAGGGAAAATCCTTTCTATTATTTGTATTTAGCAACAATAATCATGTTTAGTACTCCATTACTTTTGTTTTGCATTTAATGCATACACATTCTCAAACTGCAAATGAGTATTGATAAGTGTTGGGATTTTCTTGACAGCCACTTAAAGAATTATAAATTGTATATATATGGACATGTAGAATGCAATGTTGCAGTAATGAAAGGAAAAGATGTTGCCACGTTGATGCCATCAAGAGCTCCAAAGCCTGACAACTCTCCTGCAAGTTGTGAAAGAGGTGATGATGAAACTTGCCCCCAGAATCAACCTCGAAATGATCAGAAAAATGGAAATCAGAATGTTGTTGAGGAATGGGAATCATCAATAGCACCGCCTCCACAAGGTTGCTACTGTTGTCCATTGCAATGGAAAGTCGGTTTTCCTAGGAATTTTTGTCTCAGTGAAATTGAAGTGATTACAAATGGTTTTGCTGATATTCTGTTTGAAAACGAAAAAGTTAAAGTTTATGAAGGGGTATGGCAGAATACACTTGTCATAGTCAGATCTTATCAAAATGACCAACGACTTTGCTCAATGCTTACAATCCTTTCCGGGGTGAGCCATCACAATATCATGAACATTGTTGGATATTGCTGCACTGGCAAAAACAGATTTCTCATATCCAACTATCCATGTTTGAATAATATTGCAATGAACTTGCAACGCAAGATACCCTTTTCCCTTGTTTCCCTCCACTTCCATTTACTTCACTAATCACAAAACATGTTGCAAATGTATTCTGGCCTTTCAATAGTCTTACACTCTTTACTCTCATCAAATTGTAGTGGGCAGTCTTCTTGGCTTTCCTTTTCATAGTTGGACTCACCTGCTTTAGAGCAAAACATTCTTAACTTTTCTAAATAGTCTGCAGGTGATACATCAGCTAGAAAACTGCCTTGGAGAGCAAGGTGGTACACTGCTATGGAAATTGGTGGCTGTTTGCGCTATCTTCACGAAGAATGTCCTAATGGGCCAATTGTTCACCTGTCTGTCTGTTCAACTCACATTAACTATACCTATTCTTACTCTGCCATGGTAAGTATATAGAACAATTTCTCGAGGTACAACTTAAAGGCCAAATTTGATTTTCACGTGAAAAAAGAAAAAAAGAAATCTAAACAATCGACTTGCTATGACTCGAGTAGAATGTACAATTCTTTCAAGAAAGTTTCTTCAAATTTGGGCCTGATTCCTTTCATGTTTTTGTATTAGTATATAACTTTGCATACTAATTCTGACTTGTGGTTTTGTATACCATATTCAAGCTAAGCAATTTTATAACAGCCAAGTGGCTCGAGGATGATGTTCCCTGTAACGGTAATTCAACAGTCGAGTAAGAAGACTTTCTCAATATGAATTTCTGCTTGAATCAAAACACCCAGTTTTAGCTTTTTCATATATTGGAATTTTACACATCTACCATGTCATAATGTTTGTGCTACTCACATCCTTGTGATTTGAACCTATTTGGTGGGTGAAGATGCCCAACCCAGAGGAAGAAAAGTGGCTTTCTGTGGATGTACATGACTATGGAATGTTCCTTGTGAAGCTTATTACTGGTAAGGTTGCCAATTACTTTCCACATGAAAACGAGGGTCAATCCTTGATAGACTGGGTAAGATGCCTCTGCAACTTGCTTTCCATGATGACATTTTAAACTGTTGTAAGGAGTTTCAAAATGAAAAATGTTTATGCATTATACAAGAACTCATAAATACTTTCTTTGTTGTAATGCAGGCGCTGCCATTTCTAGAAAGCGATTCAGTCACTCAAGTGATGGACCCCAGATTGACAGATACGGATGATGATTCAAGGGTTGTTCGTTATATGGCTCGAGCAGCTTTGCTCTGTCTGAAGAATGCTTACGATCGCAGGTTTTCCATAAGCGAGGTAAGATTTTCGTTTCATACTCGTATTCATTCTTGCAATATCAATATTGGTTGGAACTCCCCAAATGTAAGAGTTTCATGTAATTAAAAACAAAAATTACGTGCTTCGGAAGAAACAAAACGGAACACTGTTCTTGTTTTTCCTCCTTTGGCAATTGATGATTATATTCCTGTCACCATAGTTTAATTCATTCTGCAATATTGGCAGGTCTTAGCCGAGGTTCGAGGCGATCAGCGTGCAATAATTTAGTGTTGAACCAAACAAAAAGAGTTTGTATTTCTTGTTTGCACGTATTTGGTAGTAAAAAACAATATTGTTGATGGAATTAAAGGCGGCATTAATCTAATGCAGATTATTTGTATATGAGAGAGGAGGGACATACATGCAGATTTAATGATTGTGATGTTGGTTAGCCTTTTAAGTGGATGATTAATGATTAGGAAGCATAAGGGAGAGAGGGCCAATGTAATCATAAGCATGGTGTTTATGCTAATTTGGCGACTCAGTAACTTAAAATGAGGAGGAAACTCATTTGAAACAGATTCCGGTTAATCGATATTTCTTCTTGGTTCATTTGGCATGATGCAATCAGAGCTAGCAGTTGCGTTCTAAAACTTCTTACAAGAACTAGACTTAGGCCTTGCTTATTTATATTATTGTATGAACATATAGATCAAACAAAGCCACCCCAAAAAATTTTCTCGTAAACCAACCTGATCCTCGCTTGTGTCAATGGTGGCGGTGTTATTCAAATGTTTCTGCCTTCAGAGCTTATTCTTTTTTGCAGCAGATGGAATCTCCTTACACCAGTTCTTGATTGCATCTGCTTTTATAATCACCATGGTGCTGTACTACAGTACTAGAGTACCCTGTGTTTACCTCTTAGATTTCAACTGCTATTGTCCACCAGCTAACTTGAGAGCCGTAATTGCCACTTTCATTGACCATTTAGAGACAAGCGATATTTTTTACAGAGAAAGCATCGATTTCCAAGTGAAAATGTTGGAAAGAGCAGCTGTGGGAAATGAATCCTGTCTACCTCGCTCTTTTCACGAGATACCATCTGATGGTTCTTTGAGTGCAGCTCGGCAAGAGATTGAAGAAGCTCTTTTTACAGCTGTGAAAGATCTTCTCTCCAAGCACAAAATAGATCCTAAAAGCATTGATATCTGGTATCAAATTGTAGCATTTTCTGTCCTACTCCGTCTATTACAGCCATGGTGATAAGCAAGTACGGATTTCGAAGCGATATTAAGAGCTTCAGCCTCAGTGGAATGGGCTGCAGCGCTGGAATCTTGTCGATAAGTTTCGTGAAAGATCTCCTTATAGTTCAGAAGAACGCTTTGGCTCTAGTGCTCGGTACCGAAGCCACTACACCCAGTATTTGTTGGGGTAAAAATAAATCCATGCTGGTAGCCAACACTTTATTTCGAATGGGAGGAGTCGCTATTCTACTATTCAACAGGAAGCAAGATAGATGTATGGCCAAGTACAAGCTTCAGCACATTGTTCGAACCCACATGGGATCAGATGATCAATCCTACAATTCTGTCTTTCAACAAACAGATGAAGATGGGCAAAAAGGGGTGTCACTTTCAAGGGCTCTTTTACACTTTGCTGCAAAAGCTTTAAGGACCAATATTTCAGAGTTAGGCCCCCTCGTGCTACCATATTCTGAGCAGCTCCGATACGGGTGGTCAGTAATTCGCCAAAAAATTTGGTCCGCTGAGCAGAAGGAAACTTATGTGCCAAATTTCAAGAAAGCGTTCAAGCATATCTGTATACATGCTGGTGGTCGCGCAGTAATTGATGGAGTGGAGGATAGTCTCAGGCTGCAAAAGGAAGATGTTGAAGCATCGAGGATGACACTATATAGATTTGGAAACACATCATCTTCGTCGCTTTGGTATCAACTGTGCTACCTTGAGGCAAAAGGAAGGGTGAAGAAGGGGGACAGGGTTTGGCAAATTAAATTTGGAAGTGGCTTTAAAACTAACAGTGCAGTCTGGAAATGCATTTCAGATCTTGATCCCAAGGAAATCAACGCATGGTCTGACAGAATTCATCGGTATCCTGTAACTATTCCAAGTGTTATGGATCATTGATACTACAAACGTCTCCTGATATGTATTGAGTTTTTCGCTGTTCAATAACCTTACATTTATTTAAGATAGATTCAGTTTTCAGATCCTTACTACTCATGGAAAGTGCATCCCAGCTTCCAGTTTGATTTCAAGGGAAAGGAATCGATCAGATGCTTTTGTTAGTCATGGATTTCCAACTTAGCACAGGCCCTACGGGGTGCTCTCGAGCTCCCTTTGAACAATTTAGAACCTGTGCGACTAGACATGGGCTTCCCAACCAATTCTGCAATTCACAAACAAGATGGAGCAGAATTGAAGTATGGTTTACGGTTAGGAGTTGGGGTTTGGGTTAAGGAATCCTTTTTATCAAGTCATAAACCATCCGAAATCTACAAAATTGAAACATGCCGTATCTCTTGACCAATCTGCTATCCTCACTATTTTCTTCCATATTTCCTACATACTATCATTTTCTTTACCCATCTTTGTACGCTTTGTTTTGAGCAAGTCATCTTCCAAACGCCTGCTCTGTCAACTTAGCGAATTAAATTTAAAAGTGTATAAGAAAAAGGAAAAACTAAGAGTACAAGAAACTTAAAGGAATTGGATTTTCTTAAAATCGGAACCAAATAGTTGCATCATTACCTACAAATAGATAATTTGATTTGAACTGTTCTATTCAATTTACACTGTTTTGTGAATGCTTACCCATCCATGATGTAACATCTATGTAGACCGTGACACTTTTGACATTATATGCTGCTTGGCCAATATCTCTGCAGTGAGCTGGCGACCAAATAACTCAGAGTTCTTAAGAATCAGGTTTCTGGTCGATGAATCAACAACATAACCTTGACCTGGCATCCACTGCAGCAACTGCAGAAGCAATTCCTTCTTTTCGGGCTGCGCAAGATAACGGGATACGGCCATCAGAAACAGTCCCTGAGTGAAACCAAATAATAAAAGGATTCAACCATAATATATATCTATGATCCACAGAGTCGAAGTTGCAACAGAATCAAGAGATGTTGCTCCATTTCCATGAAAATCACTCTGAGCTATGGGAAGTCAGACCGGGTTTGTTTGTGTTTCAAAAGGTATCACCCCATGCTCTAACTTGACCATCTATTCTATGGTGATATGAATGAAAAATAATGCCACTATAATACAGATGGATCCATTCTAAGAATCTTCAGGGTTGATTTTGAGGATAAATTTGCCATTTTCCATCTATTTTTGGAGCTGTAATTTTAAAACTTGGATAAACAAGTTGAAGTAAATTCAACCCAGCAGATGAATAATTAACAATAATAAGATCCTTTTGGCTCTTACAACACCTAAATACACTAATATTGTGATTATCAAATGCAGTCCATGCATCAGAATGCAGAATTTCAGAAACGTGCAACAATTCTGCAACTCAAACAAGCATGTGTCTTTCATAGAAGAAAAGTAATTTCAATTCATGAATCAAATTAATTAAAGTCTATAACTACCTACCTGATCAATCTTGTAGCCAGAACCATGAATAACCTTCAGGACATCGTTTATGAAGTTGATATTACCCCACTTCATGAATGCAGTTGCAAACTTTTTTATAGCAGGTTGAGAGATGAGTGCTGCATTATCCTGGTAATAAAGTAATTTGAGAAAAAAATTATAGTATAAAGGGGAATGATAAGGCTAAGAATTTGCAAAGCTACATCACATACCTTAACAACTACATATGCATCTTTAAGCAGTTGTCCAGCTATTAGAATATGCAGAATTTTCTCATGAATGGCTTTGCACATTGTTCTTTTGCTATATCTCAACATGTTGTAAACAGAAAATGCTTCAGAATGGGCTTTCATTTTACCAAGTTGAAAAATTAAGGAGGAGCAAAGTCCCTGCAAATAACAGAGAATTATAAACTTATATTGTGATTCTTTAGTTTAACTTGATTCAAATAAAGATGCTGCCTATGTCAAATATTGAAATTCATTCCATCATCATTGCCACTCCCCAAAAATAGAATCTCATTGAACTAAAACTATAAGTGACGTAAGTTTGCAAGACAACTTTTTATATGACCCCAATTATTAAGTAACGTGTCCACTTTCAAAGCAGCAACTCCAATAACCAAAAGTTGAGCAAACAAGAAAACAAACAGCCTGTCTGTACATTTGGAAAGAAAAAAGTACAGTTGGAGATTAGAATTAAGTGGTTGGACAAAAAGAATCATTCAAAAATTTTATTATGGCAGGCAACCAAAGTAGATAATCTAACAAGACTAGACTATTCATAGAATGAAGCAAGTTCTTAAAGTGTTTTCCACAATAGTGAAATAAGCTCATAGGATCAGGTCACTTATGCTGTTGTCTGACTATGATTAGCAGCAAATTCAGGAACTAAGAAAAGAGTTGCACGCTAGCATTCTTAATAACTTCTAAAGATTAGAATTTCTCACACCTCCTCTGGATGATAGCCTTTATCATGCATGTCCACCATGGTCCTATAAGCAAGAAGATATAATTTCTCCTTACAGAAATATTTTATTAGGATATGAAAGGTGCGGTAATCTGGACTGATTGCAAGTTCATCCATTTTCTTCATTGTTTTCATTACACTCTCCATCTCACCTGCTCTGCAGTAGGCACAAAGCATTGTATTTAACATAACCAGGTCATATTTGTTATACTTGGCTTCAAAATCTTGGGCCAACTGCTTTGCCTCTTCAAAAAGTCCACTTCTGCACAGAGCTGAGATCATGATGCTATGAGAATATCCATCTGCAGGAGATAAATAAATTTCAGATACTTGGAATCAAAACAAGGGGAGATGAAACTTCAACATAGCATGCCAAACAAAAATCACAAGGAAATCACACTAGATCACTATTCGCATTTCTGATCAATGAGCATGCCTTAAATCCTTAGTTAGTGGTCCTTCGCGACTCGGTATTTAACACAGGTAAGCTCAACCTCTTAAAGGAAACTCACCGGATTTGACAGATTTTTCCTGCATTTCAGCAAAAACTGATCTTGTTTCATCTAGATGCCCAGCTTTTGAAAGACCATCCATCAATAAACAGTAAGGCATCTACACATTGTTTTGCATATAATGAGTAAAGATAGTTATAAAACTATGCAACTGCAGCTGATGAAACTTAATCATACGTCAGCCTGTCATAGACAAAAAATCAAAATAAAAATTTAAACTCATATCTTTTTCAAGGTTCACATCTCATCTTTTGACCAGGCACAAACATGAAAGAAAATTATTAAATAAAAGTACCTCATCTTCAGCATAACCCAAAGCTTCCAATTCGGCTAATAATTTTCTTGATTTTTCAAAAAAGCCTCCTCTAACATATACCTTTAACAAAGTTGTCAGCATAACCTGCAAGCATTTGCAAAATAAGATAAAATAACACCAATTTATAAACAACTAATGGTAGCTAATCCCCTAGCGCAACTTCTAAATCTGACAAGATAAACACAAAAACAAACCTTATTTGGTACTAACCCTGAAGATTTCATTTCCTCCATCAACTCATCAGCCTTACAATAATTTCCATCATAAGAATAAGCATTAACTAAAGCGCTGTAATGATATAAATTAGGCGAATAGCCTTCCTCCCTCATCTGGTTAAAGTAGTTTTGAGCTTCTTCACGAAGACCATTCGAAGCACAAACAGCCAAAAGAGTTCCATACATCACACCGTCCATTTGCAAACCATTATATTTCAACTCTTTAATCAACTCTAATGCCTTGAAATGCCCGTGTTTGATTTTAATGCAACCTGCTAGCAACTAAGGATATCAAAACAAAAACAATCATTAAAGTTTCCCGATACAAATTGGGTAACTTGGAAATTGGCTAAAGCATAATTCGAGTAGGATCATTATCAATACCGTATTATATGTAACAGAATCTGGGGTTAGACCATCCTGCTTCATCTTATCAAACAATTTGATGCTGCTTTCGAATTTTCCATTTCTAACCAAACAACTAAGAAGAGAATTACATATAAAAACGTTTACTCTGGTTGGTTCATCCGGAATACTATTGTAAATTTCCAAGGCTTTAGCAGGGCTGAGTTTTTTCCCCATAACTTTTATATAAGTGCTATAAGATGAACCATTGGTCTTCCCATGCTGTTGCATCCAATCAAATAGCTGCAAATTATCCAACAAAACATATAATCAAAGTAAATTCAAACAAATTACGTACTTGGTATTGAGGATACGTGGCATATCAATTTTGGGTACCTGAGAAAGATTATGCCATTTGCCTGACTTCCCCAAATGCCTTATAATTACATTTAAGTCTTGCGGCTTTAAAATCTCACCGAAACGTTGAAGGGCAGAGTTCAAATCAGAAGATTGTTCGACTTGAAGAAGAGCGGATTTTCTTTGTAAGTAAGACTTGGAGTGAGGCCGAGTGTGATTGGGTTCTTCAACGGGAGTTGCTGTTGTGGGTGTTGCCGAGGTGAGTATAGGGACGCTGGCTCTTGGGATGGGAGGGGACAGGGAAGGAATTGTGGGACAAGAGGAGGGTAATGGATGGGGGAGAATCTTGTGGTGAAACCTAGTACCAAGAACTGACGATAACTCCATCATTGGAGATTTTGTTCAACAGTGTTTTTGTTCTGTCTGGTTCAGTTTTGAACGTTTTACATCTTGTTAAGTCGGTGGATGTTTGGGGATTGGGGACACTGCAACCGACTATACCCGGTTTGCCCAGTAGCCCTTTCAATAAAGAATTGTAAATCTTTAGTTTAATATTTCTAAATATTTTGAATTAAAATTAAATAAAATATTTTAATCAATCAAATTAAATTCAAATTTAAAATATCATATTAAAGGTTCAACTTAAATCAAAGTAAGCTCTTGGACAAATAATTTTATCTATAAACAATTTTTTTATGATAAATATCGTTTCTTTAAAAAGTGAATAATTTAAGAAAACTCAATTTGTAATGATTAATAAATCATTTTTAATTAATTTTTATAAAATAAATATAAAGTATAAAAATTATTTCCTAAAAATTAGTTTTTAAAAACAATTTAAGTTTTAATGTCGAGATTAATTACAAATGACAAGAAATAGAACGAGAGAGTCGCGAGAAACAAACTCATTGCCCATTCTTTCTTAAATCTTTTTCACTCTTTAATCAATAGAATTTAATGAAAAAATTATTAAAAATATTATTTATAATTCAAATTTAATAAGTATTTATTTAATAATAAAAAAATTATTAAAATTTTTATTAAAAATATTTATTTAAAATGTATATCAAATATTTTTCCAAAATTTATATACTTAATATATATAATAAAATATTTCAATTAATTAATTTTTAATTTTTTAAACTATTTTTAATAAAAACTTCACAAATTTCATTTTAAAATTTTTATCTATCATTGTAAAAATTTTAAAATGAAATCTATCATATATCGAGTGAATCTTTTTTAAGCATTAATACATGAAAAACAAGGTGCTTTATTTTGAAAAATATATAAAACTATCTTGAATTTTTTTCCAATAATTGCCTACGTAATTAATTAGTTGATGATGAAGAAAAGATTAGAAAAGGAAATGAGAACGTTATTAAAATAAAGAATATGAACCCAATTGATAACATTTCCCTTCATATTAGCCAGTGCATTATTTTTTTAATAAAATTCACTTACATTAGTGAAAGTTTTATAATTTTTATTATTGGATCAAAATTAAATTAATAATTATTTAAATTAAAATAATTTTTTTAATTTTTTTCATTTTAATTCAAATATAAAAATATATATATGAATAGATTCTTTTTATTATTATTTTATTTTATTATTATTATTATTATTATTATTATTATTATTATTATTATCACAAGTTAAAAATAAATCGTTATGATGTATTTGAACTCTAATTTCACTTTTTCTAAAAAAAATACAAAAAATTAAAATTAAAATCAAATCATTCCCATTTGAATCATTATATTTTTTTTTTCAAGAAATGAAAAATGTATATCCCTTGTTAAAATCATGAAATTTTAATTAAGATTATAAATTTTTTAATAACAACCTTTTTCCCTAGTGTCGAGATGCTGAAGGCCATGGAGAAATGCCTTCGCCACGTGAAATGTAGAGTTTCATTTTGATTACCACATTGTCTCTTACAAAATAAAAAATTTTAATTTAATTTTGTACGTGTTCAAAAATAGCAATTAATTTTTATTGACAAATCAACAAAAAAATTTACAAATTAATTACAAGTAGTAAGCATCCTATTAACAATTGGCGTTAAAAGACCCAAATATATAAATAATTTTTTGGCAACAAATATATAAATCATTCAAAATACGTAAAATTATTTAATATATCATCAATAAAATTAAAAGTTTGCTACAGAATCCCATTAAGATATATTTAAAAATTAAAAATTAATATATAATAAATAAATTAAAAGACATACGGGAATATTTTAATTCAATTTATGATATTTAAAAACTCTATCAAACCATTATAAAATAATAATTAACATATATAATATGAAGATGATCACACATGTTCCACTATATAAATACATCCAAATAAATTAACCACAAGCACCGAGAAGAAAGCAAACGATGTTCACCCAATTCTCAATTATTATTTTCAGTAAGTTGGAATTACCGACAGTAAAATTTAATCACACACATGAACCATGACTTGGGATTCTCTTTTGGGAGTAAATTAAAAAAAGAAAAAGAAAAAGTTATTTTGATTAATTTTTTTATTATAATACTTTTTATTTTATTGACTCGATGGACATCGTGGAAGGTTTGATAGATTTTTATCCAAGTGGTGCTACCGATTAAACAAAATAAAAATTTTGCTAACGGGGAACAGAGAAAATTAAATACAGTAAAATAAAAAGTTTGATAGATTTGTTTAATAGATTTGTTTTTATCAGTATTGCTACTGATTAATTAAATAATAAAAATCCCCGACACAATCTTGTTTTACTGATTTATGTTGTGTTGGAATTCCTCTCTTCGGATTGAGAATACAAGAGAAATTAATTAACTTGCCGACAATAAGTAATCCAACTTGATTGGTGTACTTTTTTTATATAAAAACCATAATTTAAAAATAAATAATATGATAACTATTGATATTTAAATTTATCAAACCTTAATTAATTGAGTTAAATTTTAAATTTATATTGACATTATTTTTATATAAATTTGATAAATTTAAATATGATATAACGATATAATATAAAAATAATATGATTTAAATTTTTAATAAAAATTATAAATAAATTTAATAAAATCAAAAATATATATTTTATATTTTTTTTATCGATATAAATTATAATATATAATTTTGATATAAAATATTATACAAATACATAATTTTTTAATATTTTATACTATAAAAATATACGAATTACTATATGTGCTGATTTTTCCATATATTGTGTCAGGAGAAAACTATATTTCAATGTGCTTGTTCATCATTTCATTTGAAATATTTAATATTATTAAAATAAAATTTTAATGTAGGAGAAAGCAAAACAATAATGGTGACTTAGTTAGTTTGCACGTCGTGATCAACTGATTCATTCATCAACTTAATTAATTTGCATGTCATGATCAACTGATTCATTCATCAATATATATATGTTACCAAATCTAACATATTGCCCCAAAATCCATTAAACTAAACTGGGTGGATACGATTTTCTATGATCGAATCAAGGATTTATCTTTTGCATAATGATTGGGGGTATATCACATACGAGTAATTATCTTTCCCTTTCATAAGCTCTTTAATATTCATCATGACAAATTAAGGCAAAAATATTTGTTTTTAATCTAACAACTAATTAAAAAAGATTGTGCATGTCATCATCTGATGCATTGTTCATCTTTAATACGATTCCATCCAAAAAATCTTTAAAAAATTTAATGATCACGATAATCAATTAATGTTATTGTATAGATAAAATAATGCGAGCATGAGCTCTTCATTCCAATTACCTCACTTAATCACGTTCTTAAAAAAATTGTATAGATAATCCTGATTCTACAAATATAACTATGAATCTGATCAGTGGAGTCCTGAAGTTCAGGGGCACTCTGTTAAGCAAAGTATTAAGTTATGGGGAAATGGCGCAACATTTCCTCTTTCCTGCAGCTAGATAGGTTCGGTTCCTAAATCGAGCAAAGATCATAATACTACAACAATAGCTTCAAGCTTTTTTCAAAAATGAAATGATTCTGCCAAAAGTTCATCACCAATATGACATGAAACACAGAACAAGACAGCGCCGGTTGAATTGAAACCAGTCATTCATGAAACATGATACAAGTGGTCACACGAGATCAAGCAATCATAATCAAGCTACTAGCATAAAACATTAATATCCACACCATTAAAACAACATCCGTACATATAGATTGATTGGCGTAATCCATCAACTAGATATAAAAACATACATAACAGGAAAACAAGTAGATAAGTATTTAGGCTACAGTGTCTCATGGAAGAGACGATACTATTCAGGGGTGTGAGTAGGCACTGGAATCAGTACGAAATTGTCTGCTGGGAAGAAATGGCAGACACCAGGTGTCCCTGGTTCAATCCCCAACACACGGAACGACACATGGTTGCGGCCCCATTGAGAAGTATCCATGTGACAAACAGCAACTGCCTCCACTCTATCTCCATTCTCGCCACCCAGTGATACCTTAAACACTTTGTTCTGTGTCTCCTGGCTATGGCAATAGAGTACAGCATATGGGTAGGGCAGGGTGTGGCATGCTACCATCATCGGAGCTGATATTTCCTGTGGTGTTTCTACTATAGTATAGTTCTGGAGATCGATACTTGACTTTGTAAGATGTGCAGTTGTCAGAATTTTGAAATAGGAGTTCAATCCGAAGATGCTACGTGCAAAATCAAGTATCGATTCTAAAGAGGTAGCACAAAATTTGGTCTCCCCTTTGATGGCTTTAGTTTCACATTGTCTCAGTGTATCTTCCATTGCTTTGGCTTGGGGAGAGTCTTGCAAGAAGGAGAAGAATTGAAGCAGGTGAGGAAGTTGTTTTAATGAGAAAGGAATTGAATCGGCTTCTTCTCTAGGCAACAAGTGGGGAGATGTTGAAGGATCTTTCTTAGGAAAATATATTGGCATCGATTTCCCAACCTTAAGATCGTTCAGGGTAAAAAACACCATCATTGAACGATCCATGTGCTCCATGTGGGACAATGGATGAGCATGAATCTCCCCATCATGGTCGTCAACCGTAGCATGTTGGTGGGCATGTACCATGCTGTGGGCACTACTATCATCTTCGCTTTGCCGATCATAGTCCATGCTTGGGAGTCTCAAAACATTAATTCTGCCTTGAACTTCATTTTTTAGTTCATATCCAGAGGGGCCCTGCAACTTTACCTGCTTGCTATCACGATCGTGATTTATCAAGTCTTTCCAATGGTCATCAGCCATCTCCCTGCCTCCACTTCCATCGGCATGCTGCAAAAAGGTTGACAGAACAAATAACGAACTACACCAATAATTAAGTTCTAAACATCAAAAGATCTTAAAATATTTCTTTATCTTGTACAAATTTTGATAAATTGAGTGGCTTCATTCAATTTTCATACATAAAAAGATCATGCAGAGTTAGTTGATTTGTCGTTTTAATTTGCTATAGCCATTCGTTAATCAAATTCATGAGCTTCCTGAGTTTCAAGAAACCATTACCACTGTATCGCTTAAACTCTGATCAGATTAACACAGGTACCTTATATCTAGCTTGGGAAATGAATGAAGCAGAGAGTTTAGATTTACCATGACAAGTAGGAGCAGAAGAAAGCTGCAAGAAACAAATTTCATGCTCATTCTTCTATAACAAATTGCTTCCACTTTATGCTTATCTTCTCCTTTTTACAAAGAGGGAATAGAGATTAATATAAAGAGAATCAGACTGTGGTAGAGAACTAGATACATGCAAGATTCATTGCATTCTTGTAACATATCATCAAATCAAACATGGGCTCGAAATTAATATTTTAAGTTGAATGCAGCCAAAAAAGCATAATCCTGATTGAGGTTAGGTTTATCTTTCCGCCCATGCATTGTCCTGTACGTGTCTCCCATTTATATTTCTAAACTGAAGAATTATTTCAGGTGGGGTATGAAATCTGTAAAGAAACAAGAAGAAAATCTTTCGCTTAGACATCAATTTAGATACTTTAATGAAAGTTTCATAATTTAATTCAATTGATTTATATAAATTTTATAAAATTTTAGATGTAATAAACTTACAAATAAAGATTATTCCATGAGTAATTTTCATTCCAAATTTAGTCTCAACGTTCCTAAATTCATCAAAAGAATAGCAAAATATTTTCTGGAATAAAGTTGAAATGATTGAAAGGGCTAAAAGGCATATACATGATAAGCTTGCAGATATTATTCATTCATGCATGCTAATATTGCATGAATTAAACGTGCCAGAAAATAAAAATTCTTTACTAGTGGCTGTCTATTACGTAATCAAAGATATCATCAAAATTTAATGTACAAGAAAACAATACGTTATTCTAATTAATAAATAGGGTTTTTTTTCGTCTCTAAATTTTTAGTTTAGTGATAAAAAATATTTAAGATAACATCAAGATTTGGTTTCAAATCAAACTTTACTTTTTTTTTATTTGTACTATAATTTTACTTTCATGATATAATAAAAAAAAGTGTTTTCTATCAATCATATCATCAATCATTTAATTTATCAATCTTTTTTTTTTATATACTTTTTTCCAAATCTATCATATTGAACGAATCCTGGTAGCGCATATGTGTTGATCAGTTACTATATTTCCGGGATTTTATAAGCTTAAATACATGAAAAACGGGGCATTTTTTATCATAGAAATGTATAGAAGCAGAAGAATCTTTTACATGTCCTTTAAAATGCTGTACAAGTATGTAATTAAATTTGATGATTTATGTATTTGTATTATATAAAATATTAAAATTTATATATTTATATTATATTTTATATAAAAATTACAATAATAATTTATATTAATATAAAAATATAAAATATATTTTTTATTATTTTATTAAATTTATATAATTATTATTAAAATTTTAAATTATATCATTTGGATTTTTTTATTCATATTATATTTATATTATGACATAATATTATATTTTAAATTGACATGTGATTCGATGGTAATTACTGTGCCCCTCCCACATGAATAACATGTTGCCACTCGAGGGTTCCTTTCTTAATTTCTTATTTAGAATCCAATTAGCTACAAGACAAATGCCAGTTGGAGTTGCGCTAAAATATTTTCTAATTTTTTAAATGAGAAATTATTTTAAATTGTTTTTATATTAAATTTTACTATCAAGTTAATTAATTCTTATTATACTAGTTTTTTTCAACAACTCTGCAGATTAATTGAAACTTTTACTTTTAATTAACTGTCAACAAGCCATTTTTAGCTTTTATAATAAAAATTTAACCTTACCTAGCTTTAACTTTACAAGATTTAAAGTTTATTTGAATGAACAATTGATTTTAATGAAATTAAAAGTATGATGTGGACGAAATTAATTATTATAATAATAACATTAGATGCTATAATAATAAGATTAAAATTAATAATAAAATATAAATGTAATCATAATAAATATTATAAAAATCAATTATTATAATTAAAAATTTCTTTTATTTTAATCTTAAAAAAAAAAAAAATCGAGTACGCTATAATCCGTTGAACCACTGAACTCATCTTCCTAAGAGTGAAAACATTAATTTCAACTGCATCATGAAATGCTATCCAAATACAATCTATGATATAATTGATCCTAAAATGAAAATTGAATTTCATCGAATTCTGATAGGATGAAATTCGAATGGCGCCTTAATAATTTGTTTCAGAAACTGAGCCATGTCAGGAAAATAATAAATTCCTTTACAATAATAAATAATAATATAATAAACCATTAGAGGGGTCCTCATTCTTCAATTATTAGTACACGACAAAGGTAATACTAAAGATTAATTTTCCCGCCAATCATGTGTTCGCTGAAATACTAAAAAATTCCTTTATCTGTTCTATATATGGAAAGGATTATTGCTTAGTGGCTCCATGAGAATTAGAGAAGTTGATATCGATCATTCTTTACGTTTAGTTGCATTAATTGTCTGCAATCATGAAATCTTTCCTTTCTTCCTTTGCGTTCCTCTCACTTCTCCTGGTAAGCTTTTGTAAGTTATTAATCAAACAATGTGCTTAAAACCCAATTCTAATTAATGGAAAAGGCAACCTAGTTATAAGTGCTACTCTTTGATATTAATTGTCTAGCTGCCCATGTTCTTAATCTGTCTGGTTAATTATATGTGTATGCAGTTTGCCGACACCATAGCAGCAGCTAGAAAAGATGCTGGGGAATACTGGAGAGCTGTAATGAAAGATCAACCTATGCCAGAAGCAATCGAAGGACTTATTAGGGTTGATGCTGTCTCCTCCTCCTCCTCCTCCTCCTCCAACGAGAAAACCAACTGCCATACACCTACCAGCTTTGAGCTGAGGGAAGAGAAGATCATTGTTGAGGATTTTGAACGAGCTAGGCCTCAGGGAGATGATCGGAAGAGGAAGCCTTCATTTGCTGATGATTTCGAACCAAGGCCAAACATTTCTGCTTATGGTGATGATGCTAATCTAAAAGGAAAGAAATCGTCAGCATTTACTGTCGATTTTGAACCGAGGCCAAACGTTTCTTCTTACGGCGAAGATGGTGATGCTGGTCTTAAGGGAGAGAAAAAATCATTTACTAGTGATTTTGAACCAGGGCCAAACATCCTCATTTACCATGACTGAAATTGAAACAAAACCTTGATAGCTTAAATATTTTCCAGTACTATGGTTTGGTTTGTGCTTGTTGCTATGGTTCTGTTCTGTCAGAAATAAACTCGTCAGGAGATGTGTTTTCTTTATAGAAATCACATCTAAACGAGAATTATTAGGAAAGTAAAAATATGATGTTTTTGTGTCTTATTGTAAAATAGCGGGTGTTTTTATTATATTATATGAATAAATATGTTGCTTAAATTAATTTATTTTTTGAATTTATATGCATAATTTTTTATACAATATTGCACTTAAATTAAAGATAAAAAAATAAATTGTAAGTGTTAAATTTAAATTTGAATGATATTTTTTAAATGTAATTAAATTAATTAATTGAATTAAATTATAAATTTATATACTTAATTTGATTTATATTTGATACACAGTCAATATATAATTTTATATATTGTTAGAGAATCGAATAATGTCATCTCATTAATAAAGTGAATTAGATTATACCACATCATTAATAAGTAATTATTTTTTAAAAAATTAATTTTTTATATATTTTTATTTTAAAAATTGATATTTATTTATTAATAAGATAATATTATTTAATTAACTAATAATGTTTAAATTTTATACACTAACAATACATAAATATAAACTCCAATTTAATACATTGTGATATACCATAGCTTTCATACACTATTGTGAGTGAATTATATAAATTTCTCCCAATAAACTTGTCATTGAAATAAAACTAATACTATTAATAAATAATTTAATTTTTAAAAGCATACTCTAATTCACTGATTCACAAAATATTATTATACTATAAAAGTAGTACATAGAATAAATATATATTTAAAAAATTATCAAATACATTAATATTAAAATTTTTAATTTTACAAATGAAATTAATAAAATGACAGGTATTATTCAATATATATTTAAAAAATAAAAAATTAATTAAAAAATATATATCATCCTATTAATCCTAATTATAGAATTAAAAAAATTTACTCATAGTATATCAAATAACTTCTCATATATTTTATATACAAAATAATTTTTATGCTAATAAAAAATCTATTAAATTGATAAGATTCAAATACTTACTTATAAAATTTAAATTCAAATTTTAATATTAATAAAATTTCCTTATATTTTCATGATTAATTTCAATGTAAGTCATTTTTAGACGTACCACACTCTAAACTTTTAAGCACAAAAACGTTTTTAAAATTTGACATTCTCTAATTATCTTCTAGAAGCAAGAGTTTTTCTTTTTTTCCTTTTTATGGAAAATATATAGTAGGTAGTATTTTAATTTGTTTATCACCATCTAATAAATTTGATAAATAAATATGATCCATATGATATGATTCACTTTTTTTTTTTTATAAAAAATACAATTCAAAAATAAAAAAAATTAAAAAATAAATTTATTTGTTATTATTTTAAATTATTAAACATCATATTTTTAAAATAATTATATGAATCAATTAAATTAAAATTAAAATTATAATATAATATATTTATCTACAAGAATTTAATCCAATCACAAAAACAATACCCAATCAATTTTTTAGAAATTTTTTTTTCAAAATTTATTATAATTACTATTATTAATAGAATAAATAAGGGAATTTACACCTTCCTTTACTTAATTTTTTCAGCTAAAATAAATTTAAAACTGTGCTCGAAAATTGTAGATGAAAAGAAAAAATAAAACCCTGAAAATTGTTGTCAGGTAGCCATCTGTTGCAGTCATTCCAACCGTATTAATATATTCCTCTTTCAGTAAAATTTCACATTTCAACATCTTCACAGATATCAAAGCAGGGAATCATTCAACGGATAAGATTAACCATCAAATTAAAGTTTTTATTGCTAATCATGAACCGCACCATACACAATAATTATTATATCTTTTAATTAATGAAAACGGCTTTTGTTGGTCGTGGAAGAAACAAAACCTGACCCTGGCAATAGCAAAATACACGGCAACAAGGTTCACATTGAGCAGACTCAAAATCCTCTTCACAGAAAACCCAACCCCCAAGCCGTGTGATGGAGGAGAAACGCCGGGACGCGGTAAATTCACCGGCGGGGCCGAGTTTGGCGGAGCCGGAGCCGGCATCAACGCGCCGACGAGCTGGAACACAGAAGAGGAAAGCTAATTCTCTCTCTGGGTCCAGCTCATCATCAACCCCGTCGAAGCGGGTTACTCGAGAGAAGTCAAACTTTGTCTCCTACCCTCCGATCAACCATTACGGTCCTTTAACTAGGGCTCGCCAAGGGGCGCCTAGTGGAAACCTAGCCTTGGGTTTGGGTTCGGGATCGGGTGGCCAGAAGCATGAGGGGACGAGTTTGGTGAAAGAGATTGTGAAGGCTGAAGATTTGGAGGAATTCAATAAGGCAAGTGAAGAGTGGGAGGCTTTGGAAGCGAAGATTGAGGCTGAGTTTGAGGCTGTTAGATCTCGTGACAGTAATGCGCACGTGGTTCCTAATCATTGCGGTGAGTTTTTCTTTTTTTCCTTGTTTGGTTGATGGGAAAATGGGAAGGAAAGAACAGGAAAGTTGAAGGTTTTATTTTGGAACTCTAGTGTAGTGAATTGGAGAAATTATTTGCGATTTTTTTGTTTTCTGTTGATTTAGGGGTTCAATTAAGTTTGAAGTGAAAATTTTCTCTTAATTAAGTGGAAAACAAGAAAAAAAATTTCAAATTTTCTTGCGTGGTTTAATTGGGAATTTTCTTTACTTATTTGTTTCTATGTGATAATGTGAACGCTACTATTAAGTCCGTATCGTTTTGCATTTGGAAAGGATTTATTGGTTTCTTTTTTCTTGGCCACCAGGAAAAAAAGGTAAGGATTTTGTTATGTTTCTTTGCATGTGAGTGCTTTCATTCAACCGTAGTCATAAATCTAGATGCAGTTTGATGGATTGCTGCTGATGTTTTTGATTGAAGAAAAAAAGAAAGAAAGAAGGACACAAAATAGAAGGGATGTGAAAATGTTAATTCTGCTGTAATTCCTTATTATTATGGTTTTGTAAATGATTATAAGTATTCATCCAGTTTCTTGTGCTCAATGATTGTCAGCCATACAAGAGAATGTTAATCTTAGTTTTCATCAGCCGATTGCAAACTGGGGCTCTAAATGAATTTGCTTCATTGGAAGCCTCTTAGTTTGATGCTGACATGCCGTTAAGATTGAAGGAGATTCTTTGGTATTTACTTCTATTATCAGTTTGAGTATTCATCCTTCTCTTTGTACTCACAGGATGGTTTTCATGGAAAAAAGTTCACCATCTGGAGGAGCGTGTGTTGCCTTCTTTCTTCAATGGGAAATCCCCAATGCGTACCCCTGATGTGTACATGGAGATACGCAATTGGATTATGAAGAAATTTCATGCAAATCCAAGTATGCAGATTGAGTTGAAAGATCTGTCAGATCTTGAAGTTGGTGATATGGATGCAAGGCAGGAGGTATTGGAGTTCCTGGACTACTGGGGTTTGATTAACTTTAATCCCTTCCTTCCAGTTGGTTCTGCTGTGCCCAATGCCGATGGTGATGGGATGGCCAAAAAGGATTCTTTGCTTGATAAACTGTTTCACTTTGAGGCAATTGAATCACGCCCACAAGTTGTTCCCAGGCCAAACCTTTCAACCTCATCTCCACAATCCAGGTTTCTTCCAGAGTCTGCAGTTGCTGAGGACTTGGTTAGGCCTGAGGGACCATCTGTTGAGTACCACTGCAACTCTTGTTCAGCTGACTGCTCTCGGAAGCGCTACCATTGCCAGAAGCAGGTTAGTTACTGACTAATAAATAATTGTCCGAACGTCAAATTATTTGGTGTGCTATGCAAGAGAAAAGTAAGGGTACCACTTATGTCTGTCCAAGTGTTTCCTATGGTGGTAGTCAAATTTTCTATCATGCTTGGGTTGAATTGATTTATGTATGTTTATATGTATATTTTGTTAATTTTCACAAGTCTTACATTTCTAAGATAGTAAGAGGAAATTCTACTTCTAAAAAATCAATTTATATGACATCTTCTGCTCAAGCCATGTGAAGGAAATCTACAAACCTTTCGAGCTACTACTCCTTTTCCAACTAGTGTAGAAGTAGGTGTCCAGCAAATTAGAGATCAACATAAATGTTTTGTACCACCTGTGCAGTTTTAAACTTGACGCACTACTTACAACAATAAGGCAATGATCTTTGAAGCTTTGTATAATTTCAATGATCACAATGGCAAATATAACTAATTTAGGAAATTGGGTTTTGTTTATTTATTGATTTATTTTTCCATTTCTTTATGATGCTAATTATGTTTGTATTTGACAGGCAGATTTTGACTTATGTACTGATTGCTTTAGCAATGGGAAGTTTGGCTCCGGCATGTCTTCTTCAGATTTTATTCTCATGGAGCCTGCTGAGGGCTCCGGTCTTAGTGGCGGCAAGTGGACAGATCAGGAAACCCTCCTTCTCCTTGAGGCACTAGAACTTTATAAAGAAAACTGGAATGAGATTGCAGAGCATGTTGCTACGAAAACCAAAGCTCAATGCATACTGCATTTTGTTCAAATGCCAATTGAGGACGTATTCTTTAATTGTGATGATAATATAGATGCTAATTCCAAAGAAACTGCTGGACCTGTTGCAATGAGTGATGAAACATCTGTCCCTAAAGATGTCCCTGAAACAACAGAGAGTAAGACTACTTTTCAAGAAAATCAGGCCCAGACTACACCAATGGAAACTTCAAAACCTGAAGATGAAATAGAATTGAGGGTTAATGTGGAAACATCGAAACCTGAAACTGGAACTAATGTAAAAGGTGGTCCCAAATCATCAAAGCCAGAAGAAATCAATGAGTCCAAAGATGGAGAAGACACAAATGAAAATTGTGCAATTATGGCTCTAAGGGAGGCATTTGAAGCTGTTGGTTATAATTTAACTTCTGAAAGCATCCTCTCGTTTGCTGATGTGGGAAATCCTGTTATGGCATTGGTAAGTTGAGTGTGTAAGTGCATAAATTTAGGTTTTATCAATTGATGTGTTTAAAGGGAAAACTGAGTTTATTTAACTTTCTAAATTTATCCACTTTGTACATGTCTTCTGAGATAATCTTCATATCCTAAAATATTACTCAGGGAATCATCTATTTTTGTTTTTAGAATAATTTTAAATGGCTTTATATGAAAAGTTTTAGTTATGATTTGATGTGGTTGTATCCTTGGACTTGCATTCAAAATTCCCAACCTCTTAAATAGAAAGTATGGTGGCTTGCTTGGTCATCAAATGAATGATTAAACCACAAAATGCTATTCTTTGGCATTTTGCTTTTCTGCTTATTAGCAATAGTTTTTTGATGGTCATTTTTTACTCTTCTTCTTAAATGATTGTTAATCGTTATGCTATACAAAGTCCTTTATTAAGTTATTGCATGCTATACTTGTTTATGAACAATCTTTATTACTTCTTTTTTAAAATTTTGCTTAATTAACTTTGCCAATTTTCTCTTGAAAATGTTTATCTTGACTAATTCCACTATTCATAATTTTTCTCTGCCTCTTCACCTGTGCTTAATTGATGGATAATGGGGATATGCTAATTAAGAGAATGAGTTTTTTAGGACTTTATTTTATAATTTATGGGTTTGATTATAATTTTTATGTTTATTTAGGCTATTTTAGATTATTGCGATATTTTAGACTTATTAGTATTTTCTTCTTTTCTACAAATTGGGACTTTAGGGTTATAATTGGTGCTTTATATATTTATTAGGGTTTTGATAGTTATAAATACCTAAGTTGTAATAGTTTTAGGAGGCTTTGATCAATGAATTATTGAGATTTCTGAATATTTGAGTGAGTTACTTTTCCTACATCATTAATGTTTCTCCATCTGCAGGCAGGATTCTTTGCACGTCTGGTTGGACCTAACATTGCTGCTGTTTCAGCCCAGAGTTCACTGAAATCATTATCTGGTAGTTCTCCCAGTGTTCACCTGGCTGCAAGGAACTGCTTTTTTTTGGAAGATCCACCGGATGACAAGAAGGAACCAAATGGTTCTGAGAGGTATGTTAACCCATTTCAAGCTTATATATCGATTGCAATTTATAAACGATATATCTGATGTCAGTTAGAAATTGCAGTGTTGTCAATGATACGGGTAATGGGGATGCTCAGAATGTGGAAAAGTCGGAAGACAAAACCCTCAAGGAGGATAAGTCCACCCCAGTTTTGGATCGAAATAGTTCTTTGAGCAGCCATTGTGACCAAAATGCTGAAGTTTCTCTCCCTGTAGAAAGGGTGACATCAGCTTCAGCCAATGACCTATCCACAGGTAAAAAAGAGCTCGGTACACTTGCAACTAATGAGGAAGTGAAAAAGACTAATTTGAATGAATCCAGCATTAATGATCAATCAAAGGATCATCAACCAAATGTTATGAGGGAATCAAATAACTCGGCATCCCATGTTCTGCCAAGTTCTGTGGAGGAGACAGGGGGGAGGGGAACCTCAGTGGAAGAGCCTTTTCAGCCTCCAGAGGCAGTGAAAGAAGTAGATATGTCTCATTCTGCTCCATTGGAAAGGAATGAGCCTTGTGATGCAGCTGCATCAAAGCCAGTGGGAGAGCTATCTGAATCAGCAGTGGCATTAGAAAATGTGGAGGCAGTTTCCAGTTCTCCATCCAGAACAAAGAATGAACAACAACCAGTTAAATCAAGTTCTGGTGGAGAGCCTACTCAGCCTACAGAGGCCTCAAATGATGTTGAAATGGTGTCTGATTCACAATTAGTAGAAAGGAGCGAGCCTCAGCAACCAGTCACATCAAATTCAGTTAATGAAAATGGAGCAACGACAGGTTTCTCTCCTTTCTTCTATGAATGTCTTGTTTCAAATGTGGAAGTTACAAGAACAGAAGCCAATTGTAAGGAAAATGCTGAGTAATATCTTATGGGAACATGTGGAAATATTTAACAAGTCTGATTTAAAATATGTATGGAGTGCTGGAAGCAATACTTGGTTTTATAATGTAAAGCATATTCTATCTTTCTTGGTTCTTTGCATGCCATCTTGGAAATTTGAACCTTAATACTTAGTGATGTTTCTACAATGTTCGGTAAAATATAGATGGTATATTATAAGAGCCACCAGCTGGAAAAATGCATACTTTTTTAACTTGTCTCATTTATCTTACTATTCTTTGCAGACAAGAGTAAAGTAGCTAATAACGAGAACCATGCCTCTACTGAGACAAAGGGTGATAGTAGCATTGATAAAGTAAAGTGTGCAGCGGTTACAGCACTCTCAGCAGCAGCAGTGAAGGCAAAACTTCTGGCAGACCAGGAAGAGGATCAAATCCTACATCTTACCGCATCATTAATAGAAAAGCAGGTAGTTTAGTTGCAAAATCCATGCAGTATCTTTTTTTCTGTATTTCCAACTGGAGCAAAATCTAAGTTTTAGGCTTTAATTGAATCAGTTACGTAAGATGGAAGCCAAATTAGCTTTCTTCAATGAAATGGAGGGTGTCATGATGAGGGTGAAGGAGCAATTGGACAGGTCAAGGCAGAGGCTTTACCACGAGCGAACACAGATAATTGCTGCTCGACTGGGCTTGCCAGCTTCTTCCTCTAGATCAATGCCACCTTCAAATACTGCAAATAGAATTGCAACAAACTTTGCAAATTCAGTTGCAAGGCATCCTATGACCATGACAGCCCCAAGGCCACCAATGTCAAGACCTATGGGGCCTATGGCTCCTATTCCTTCCAACCCATTTGTATCCTCAACAGTTGCTGGAAGTTCAATTCGGCCTGCTAGCCAGGACAATCTTTCTTCAGTTGGAACAAAGTAGTCTCTATTCAGATTACTTGTGAATAGAAAATTTCCCCCATTATTTATACGATGGTAATCTATCACGAGGTTTAGCAGGTATCTCTTTTTGTAGTTGTGGTTTTGGGTGAGTTTAAGAACTAGAGGTTTTACACAGCTGAATTCATAGCAAATTTATTTTGATGTTTTTCCTGTGATAATTCCAGCCACAACGTTGATAATCTCTGAGCAATCTAGAAACCACTGCCTACATTGAATACGCATCTGGATTCTCATCATCGTAGGAGGAAGGAGCAGATGGAATTCTTTTCCTTTGGATCGTATTCTAGTCAAAATGGTTGAGCCTTCTAACTAGGAATTTTATTCTGTGTTTGTATTTTTTAAGGCTAGTTGGTAGTTGATAATTTTGGGTACACTATGTTGAATTTAGTTGGTACAAATTAAACATCCATAACCATTTACCGAATTCTTGGGCCGATGTAACAGATGTATTCTATTTACGAGTGGATAGAGATGTTTTAATGTTACAAATGACAGTAAATCTTTGGATCGGAGTTCCCTTTCTCTCTGCCGTTGTCTACACGTAGTAGCTTCCTGGATTCATTAGCTTTTTGGACCATGAGTCGTCTGTAGTGTCCTATGATGACTAATAAAATGAGATATCTGACCCGTATTTGGCGACGGTGAGTAAAAAGATAGTCGAACTCTAAATCAAATCGTTGGAGATGGGAAGCGATGTGATTTTGCAAGCAAGATGTAGATAGAAAATCTTCAGTGAATCCATCAGCTTTAATTAAGTTTGAGAAGTTCTGTTATTCAGAGTTAGACTTGATTTATTAATTTTAGACACGACAAATTATACAAGTTTAACATAAAATATTTTAACAAAAATTATGAATTTGATGAAAAAAAAAGAAAATCATATTTAATACTTCAAATTGTGGCAATAATCTTTATGTTTTGTACGCATGACAATAATTTTTGTACGTGTCCGATACAATAAATACAGATCTATTTAAAGTACTGATCATTAAGTTCTGTATTTCTGCTTCCTCCAGTGTGACACGCAAATACGAACGGAAGTAAGTCTTACTGTAATATTAACGTCTGAAACTCTCAGCATCGATAGTTTGCATAGCTCTGCTAGCCTTACTGCAATATTAACGTCTGAAACTCTCAGCACCTATAGTTTGCATAGCTCTGCTTAAAAGCATATTCACGACGAAAATTTATAATTAGATTTTACTATTTTAGTTCCAGGAAATCCGACCCCACTTCCTTTCCAAAAGTAGAACCAAAAATTTCAGATCATATTTCACTCGCATTGAGAAATTCAAAGGTTCCAACTACTTCCCCCTATTAGAGTTATCATCTTCAAAAGCATGAAACCAAAGCGGAAATGTTGGCCGTAAAGCAACTTTTGTCTGAAGGTGAAACAGGAGACAATCCTTGTTTGAAAAATTGAAATACCCTACAAATACAATTTACGTTCACTTGCGAAACAATACTTGGGTGGTGCTGAGCAAATACAAGAATGTCAAACAAATGAGGGCATTACAAATGCACCAACCAGTGCATTAGCAACAGACTATTTTGTTTCTCACACAAACATTAATATACAGTGTAGCCCCATATTAATCCATAACAATGGTTGATAAGGCCAAATCATTTGTAACACTTGAAAGACATTTATTGCCGCAGCCAGAAAAAATCACATGATATATTTCAACATTCGCATCCACTTGACCTTGGTTGGCTGCTGCTTGCAACGTCGATGGTGTCAGGCAAGTATCTTCATGAATGTAATATCCACCAGAAGAACATGAGAAAATAACCAAAAAATTTAAGTAATATTAAGAAAAATAATTTAAGAATCTAAGCTGTTAACAAATTTCACTCTGCAAAAATGGGAAATCAAATCAGTATACCATGCAAATACCGTCACTTCACAGTTACCAAAAAAGAAAATTCACTTCTTAATTTGCAATAATGATGTATTACTTAGAAAGATGATTGAATAATGCATGGAATGAGCTATGAGCTAAAATTTGAGAACAAATTTAAGACACAGTAGTACTTTTAGCTGCTGAACTCAAGTTTGTTCATTCAAGTATGGTGTTGCATATCTATATGTAGCAACTGATAGTGTTACAGCTGACAATATTAAATTACAGCTTAATGTTTTTCCCATAATTCAAAATTATATAGGAATGTATATGTACGCAGGGATAGAGCTGATTATGATTTAACTTACATTTCTTCCTCTTCCCCGCTCTTTAGGGCATTCTTGGCTATGCACTGGAAAGCTTCTTCCACATTAACTCCCTCCTTGGCTGAGGTCTCAAAATATGGGATATTTCCTTTTGAGGCACACCATGCTCGGGCCTTTTTCTCAGACACCTAGAGAGTCCACAAGAAGAAGACAATTGTATCTTTGGAGAGAGAGAGAGGGAAAGAGAATATATAATGCAACTGCAGATTTAGAAAAAATTCACAAAAGTACATACCACTCTACTGTTTCCGCCTTCCACATCAATTTTGTTACCCAAAACAACAAATGGGAAATTCTCTGGATCTGACGGGCTAGCCTGCAAGGGGTTCTCAAATCATCATTTCTCTACTGAGTAAGTTCTGGAAAGCTCGTTTAATGATTTACAGTAGAATTCACAGAAGTTCAGAATCTATACCTGAATAAGAAATTCTTCTCTCCAGTTGTTAAGGTTGTCAAAGGATTTCATTGAGTTGACATCATACACAAGAACACAGCAATCAGCACCACGGTAGAAAGCAACACCTAAGCTCTGGAATCTTTCCTGGCCAGCGGTATCCCAGATCTGGGAAAAGAAAATAATGTGATGAATTTTGAGCATAGTGCCCACTCAAATAACACAAAACCTATCTTATAATGTCATGCTACAATTTGCTAGATCAATACTCAATGGTGGTCCATAAGGAAGTCTGATGCTAAATCACAGAACCTTCTTGATGAAGTCAACATTCATCAGGTGATCAACCTAAGTCCAATTACAAGTGGGACAACATCATCAACTAGTCAACCGTCGCATTCTAAATCATTGCAAACTTGCTAAAAAATATAACCATAGAAAAAGAAAATTTTGACAAGATTTTCAATAAATGGAAAATGGGGGGCACTGGCAGTTTTGAATTAATGATTATAGTGCAAAGTAAGATGCATTTGCTTCAAATCTTATATGTCATTAAGAAATCCTCCTTAAGCTCTATATCAAAGATGTTCAAACCTAAGCTTGATTCATGAGCTAGAGATCAAAATCAAGCTTCTTCTTTGCCAAAAAGACACCATACTCAGCATGAAACTAAGATCCCATAAAACAAATGTAAAAGCTGAAGCAAGCTCATCAAAATGTTAAAAAGCTTGTTGTCAAGCACAAGGAAAAGGATATTAACTTGATACTAAATCAAATACAGGGCTCGCTTATAAAACCTACCTGTAAGGTGAAAAGCCTATCCTCAAACTGCACTTCCTTTGTCAAAAAATCGGCCCCGATTGTCGCCTTATACTGATTGCTAAACTTCTTATTTACATATCTAAAAGTAAAATGTAAAGGCAAACAACAACAAAACTCATAGTAAAAATAATTAATACTATCAATTAACAATTAAATACGACTTCAATTTTTTTAATAATTAAAAAAGGACTGCTGCAGGATACTGATTCATCAAAGACGTCTTCCCTACCCTGCAAATCACAGATCAATCACAATCATAAACATTAATTTTACAGAATTATAAAGAAAGTCGCAGGCGAAATTAACTACAGCTTAACGACAAACGAGACCAGTGATTTGAATAAAAAATCTTGAAAGATCCGTACTGAAAACCCTAGAAACGAATTTCCAATAAAAAACAAATACATGCGTATCTATACGTATAAAGATACGGACAGGTATAAAGAAAAAGAAAACTAACCCGCTATCGCCGAGGATGATGACCTTCAAGAGGGTTCTACGGCGAGACGGCATCGTACGAAATGCTAACGAATCGGCGGATCTGTAGACAAAGAAAAAAAAAAAGAAAAAAGAAAGTTTTCTATATCAAGAAAGAGAGAGAGTAAGGGGCTCGTGGACTTGTTTGCCTGACAGAGAAAATTGGGAAGGAAAATTGGCTGAACTTTCTGGCGTTTTGTTCAAATCTTCTTGAACTATTTTTTTCTCTCTCTTCTAACTGGGCATTTTTATATTTGTCGTTGTTGGTTTTTTTTTTATTTCTTTTAATGTATGGAAAGGAAAGTTTTGCGTGACAGCTTGGACTGCTCCTTCGTTTAACGTTAGCGTCCAATCTGGCCTGGGAAACCGCCTTTCGGTGTTATTGTGTTGATAAGTCATTAGGTAACGCCGTAACGGTAACCTTTCAACCATCTCTTGTGGCTCAGACGGTTAAAGCATCTGTTTATGGTACGTTTGGATTTCATGACACCCTGTCTGAGTTCAAGGGTTTTTTTGTTCAATTTTGATAAGTGATTTATTAAACCTTATTAGTTGAGCTGTTGGAAAACATCTGTCAACTACTTTAAAAAATAGTAAAAAATTTTTAATAGAGGATCCTTTATTAGTTAAAAATTAATAAATGATTTAATTTATTTTTATTTATTTTTATATTTAAGTTAAAGTTATTAAATTTTAATTATAAATATAGTTTAAAATATATTTATTACCTTTAGATAAAATAATAAAAACTTTCATTTGATTTTGTAGATAGTGAAAATAATTTTTTTCAAAATTTTACTGCCTTTTTGATAGTGAAAATACATTTTAAATAGATTTAAGGTTGAATTTTAATGATTCTAAATTAAATATAAAAATATAAAAATTTTAATTAAAAATAAAAATAATTTGAATAAATTTTAACTTTAAATTTAATTAAAAATATATTTATCACAATTAAATAAAATAATAAAAGCTTTCACTAATTTTTTAAGTAATAAAACAACACTCAATTTCACCAATATTATTATATTTATAATTAAAAATATTTTTTTATTATTAATTTTAATCTTCTATTATAATTAATATTTAATCTCATTATTACAATAATTATTATTTTCAATGTCATCCTCTATTTAATGAATCATATGCAATTCTGCATGAGTTCTTGACTTTGACTTTCCTAATTTTTGGGTTTTCTTCACTTGGCCCCATGACGTCCTATGAAATATGAAGTGTTTTAAATTTTCCTAGTTATCTTTACTTTCCCACTTGCTTTTCTTAAATTTTATATGATAAACTAAAAAAACTTAAAGTAGAAAAAATTTATATTTAAATTAATAAAATAATATTATATTGTCTTTGTCTACAGTTTTGCATAAAAATTATATATTGGCTGCCTTTGATTTAGGATTCGAGCTGTGTCTTTGATTATAATATTGACATTTTTTTAATTGTAAAAAATTTTTAGATTTCATTTAATATATATTTTTTGAGTTAATTTAATAAAATATAATAAATTTATAAAAATTTATCTTTTTCCCATCTCTTTAAGGAATTCAAATTCAAGCGCTGGGCAGCAACTTTTACGTTTTGTTAAGCCATTTACAATTTTTTTTTTTTAAATAAGGCCGTTTACAATTCTTAAATTGGAAATTTGATGACAGGTGTTGGATAGGTAAAAATTACATAACCAACTCTAAAGTCGAAGGGAACTAGGTGCCCCAATAGAAACAGCATGCAATTAATCACAGTTGTCTTTCACTGCTTTATATTACATTTGTGCCTTAAACTGGCAAATTAAGACATTGGAAAAAAAAAAAAAAAAACAAGAAAAACCATCTTAAAATTAGAACTTGAAATAGAGATTCTCCTCCATTTTAGGAGATGATTCAGGGGAAAAATGAAACTCATGGTTCTCAGAATGTTTGACACAGCCATTACCTAGCAAAAAAAAAAATCTTTCTAGCCCTGCCCTCTTCTTTGAGAATCCTCCTCCTGCCTTTTCCCCTGCAAGTAAGTCTCTCTCTTTTTTTTTTTTTTTTTCTTTTCTTTTTTTCTCATTATTTTCAAAATTGTACGTATTTGAGTCAATGATATCGGCTAGCAGCATTGTTTTTTTTTGGCTACATTTTTTGTTCTTCATGGCTAAGCCTATGGTATTCGCAATTCTGATAAAGACTGATTGCTGTTTTCTTTAGATTCTATCTAGTATCTTTGTTGAATCACGAATGTTTCATTTGCAGAGGTCTTTGAAAGGGCGTCCTTTGGAGGGGAGGGCGGGTTTTCTGGCACCTTGTGAGAGTAACCTTTGTCAGAAATACCCCAAATGGCTTCTGCCCCAGAAGGTTCTCCACCTTCACCATCTATTTCATCACCACCTCCATCATCGGTGGATAACTCGCCGCCACCACCACAGTCAGCTTCTCCTCCACCAGAACCATCCCCACCACCACCAAACTTGTCACCTCCCCCGGAAGAGTCAAAGTCATCTCCACCACCACCACCACCCTCCTCAGCACCACCAACACCATCCTCCTCATCTCCAAAATCATCACCGCCACCTTCACCGCCACCCCGATCTAGCAGCAATCAAAATAATGCCGTCAAAAGTAATCCTTCTCCATCATCACAATCACCACCAACACCATCAACTTTGACATCCGAAAATGGCTCATCAACCCATTCTTCCTCGCCAAGATTGTCACCTCCACCGCCAAAATCACATTCACTAACTAGCAGTATTGAAAGTGGATCAGAATCAGATACGTCAACGTCGTCTTCTTTGCCAATTATAATAGGTGTTTCAGTTGGCATTAGCTTGTTGCTTATTCTCATTATAGCGCTTATTATTGCAACATGCAACAGAAAGAAAAAGAAGCCAACGTTCGATAATCATATTCAATATTACAATAATTCTACGCCACCACAGGGTAAATATATTTCAAGAAACAAATTGCAATCCCTTGTTATACGAGAAAAGTGTTACTATGATCTTCCTGAAAAAAGCCATGCCTTTTGATTAATAATGCGTAATGTGTGTAGGTGGTGTTGGATATGGAAATGCGTCGAGCCCAGCCCAAGTAGGACAAATGAACAATGGGTACCAAGCTAATGATCACCATGTCCTCAACTTACCACTGCCTCCGGGTGGAAATGCAGGTCCTGGAGGGTACTTGCAACAGACACCATCACTCCGAGGGCAAACGACATCTTCTAGTGAAATGAGCCCCAATTTTCTTGGTCAAACTTTGCCACCCACATATCCATCTCCTTTAGGGCTCAACCAAAGCTCTTTCACCTATGAAGAGCTAGCAGTTGCAACTCAAGGTTTCTCTCAAGCTAACTTGTTGGGTCAAGGTGGATTTGGGTTTGTTCACAAAGGAGTTTTGCCTAATGGCAAAGAAGTAGCAGTTAAGAGTCTAAAATCTGGTAGCGGGCAGGGTCATCGTGAATTTCAAGCTGAAGTTGAGATTATTAGTCGCGTTCATCATCGCCACCTCGTATCTCTTGTTGGGTATTCCATGGCAGCAGATAAGAAATTGTTGGTCTTTGAATTCCTGCCTAATAAAACCCTTGAATTCCACCTTCATGGTATGCAATGGTATAATGATAGTATTACACTTTTTTGGTAACATAACTTACTATAATTAAGATGACCATTAATACGATACTTTGATAGACTAGAGATCAGTACTCAACCTTACGTTATGCTAGTTGTAAGTGTTCCTATTTTACGCTATATGTCATTGTTTGATTGCAGAGAAAGGTCTCCCGGCCATGGACTGGCCTACTAGGCTCAAAATTGCGCTGGGATCAGCTAAAGGTCTTGCATATTTGCATGAAGATTGTAAGTGTAATTTTATAGATCATTAGTAAACTTATTCGACATTCCTTCCTTTTTCACCTCTTATCCATTTGAGGAACGCAGGCCATCCTCGCATCATTCACAGAGACATCAAATCTGCCAACATTCTACTTGATTTCAGTTTTGAAGCCAAGGTATGTCGTAACTCGTAACCTTCGAATAATTAATGTGTTCGGATTGATTTTGTTAGTTTCAGCATATTCGAAATATATATATATATATATATATATATATATTTATATTGAATTGTGAACCAGGTGGCAGATTTCGGGTTGGCTAAACTTACTCAAGATAACAATACTCATGTCTCTACTCGAGTCATGGGAACATTTGGGTAAGCAGAATTGTTTCAATTCTTTGAATCCGGAAGCTTTGGTTAAATCCTGACTACAGAAATTAATTTTGATGAGTTTTCTCATAATCAATAAATGCAGTTACTTAGCCCCTGAATACGCATCAAGTGGCAAGCTGACAGATAAATCTGATGTTTTCTCCTTTGGTGTTGTTCGCTCTTGGAATTGATAACTGGACGTCGGCCTCTGGACCTGACCTCGGATATGGACGACAGCTTGGTAGACTGGGTGCGGCATGTCTCCTTTTTAATATAAATATAAGCTTAACGTCTTGATTCACCAGATGCTGATAGCGAAAATTTGAACTATATACAGGCTAGATCCTCATGCGCAAGTGCAATGGAGGATGGAAACTTTAGTCAATTGGTGGATCCGCGCCTGGAAAACAAGTTTGTCCCGCAAGAGATGGCACGCCTGGTCGCCTGTGCTGCTGCGTGTGTTAGGCATTCTGCTAGAAGGCGACCCAAAATGCGACAGGTGTGAATTCTAAATATTTTAGATTTCTGTTTTTGTTACTAGCCAGACCTTGTTAATTTGCAGTTTTTTGGTATTGAATCAAAAGATTATTGCTTGATCAGTTACACGTTTAAACACCTTATTTCCCCTGAATATGATTTGCTACCTAATACTACTTTATATTCATTGGAGAGGCTGAGAGGAGGGAGAAAATTGGAGATTTGAAATGCTCCAAGAAATTCTAAAATAGGGATAAATACTAAATACTGCTGAATTATATATAATTTTGCAGATTGTTCGCGCACTGGAGGGTGATGTTTCATTGGATGACTTAGATGAGGCTATGAGGGCTAGGCAAAGTTCAGGGTTCTGCTCGACGAGTGACAGCAATGGCTATGATTCTAGTTCATATAGTGCAGACATGAAGCAGTTCAGGAAATTGGCATTTGGCAGCCAAGGCTATGGAAGCAGCAACTTTGGTAACACGAGTGAGTACGGGCTCAATCCTTCTTCCTCTAGCAGTGACTCAAGTGTGACTACAACCCGGAGGCAACCTTGAGCAAACTCAGAATTTCATCGAGAACGCACAAGGGATAAAAAAAAAAAATCCCTTCATTGCAAGTTCGG